CTTTTTTTTTTTTAACGCTACTCCCCAATGTTTCGGTAATGGTAAAAAATAAATCAGTTTATTGAAACCTCATAACGTGTGGCTTAAAAACGAACCGAAGGTGCCCGGCGTTGAGCACTCTGATGGGAGCAGACGAGCTGGTGGCATCGGGGTCCTTCTCTGCAACGCGGCCCCTCTGCTGCTCGCCCAGGGGGTCTCTGCAACGCATCTCTCATCCGTTTCAGCATTAGAAAAAGTGATTTCCTTTAGCAGTTAGTGTCTCGCACAAATCCCCTTTGACGCTCCCTCTCTACAACCGCCGCAGGAGAGGGAGATCCTTCCATTGGTGAAGCAAATGCTGGATCCGCCGCGTGGCCGGGAGCTGGTTGGAGCCGCAGGGCTTCGCAGAGGGGTTTGGGGAAGCGTCTCTGGTTGGCTCAGGGACCAAAGGGGTCAAGCGTGGTGGATTTCTTGTCATCGGAAGAGTAAAAAGCCAACGGGCGACGAGGAGGCATTGGTTAGAAACGCGTAGGGCAAGAGGGAGTTGGACCAGATGACCTTTAAGGGTCCCTTCCAACTCAAACGATTCTATGAGAGGCCCCACCGCGACGTCCTGCGAGATGAGGGAGGAATTCAACCAAACTGAGCAATGAAACCAACCAGCAGAGCCTGGCCAGCGCCTCCCTCCCGCCCTGCTCCCCCCGGCCTCTAGAAACAAAGTCCCATCAAGTACTCAAAGTTTATTACAAGTGAACTGGAGATGACTTGGCATGAGCGATCCATTCAATTAACAACGTTCAGAGGACGGGCGGCTCTCCCTGGGCTCTGACAACACTTAAGAACATTAAGAGATGGAGGCCAGGACAGCTCGCGTGGAAAAAAATGCAACAGCCACCCCTCGGCACGGTAAGAACCAGCAGCTTTCCAGGACCAGGAGGGGAGAACAACACCACAGAGGTGAGATTTGCTTTCACTTATTCCTCAAGTAACAGTCGGTGGCACAGCCCTAAGTGTCACGAAGCCCTGGCTTTCCTCGAGCGGGTTTTCTCTCTTTAAATGGAAAATTCAGACAGTATGTGAATCTATAGGGTTAAAACGAGTCAGTCTCTGAGGAGCGGAGCCTCAAAAGGGGCCGGCTGCTGTGGCAGAGCTGGTGTCGGGGAGCCCGTTTTCCTGCGTGTCCTGGGACGAGGTGCTCGCCTGCCTCTGGGCCAGCGCTGAGCTCGAGTGTTTGCACTTGGGTGAACCGCACTGACAGCTGAAGAACTTGCCTTTGATGTCCCAGAACCTGTCGCCGTAGTCAAAGCTGGAAGAAAGAAATGGAAACGGGGTCACTGTGATGAAGGAACGCTCGGGAGCGAGAAGCCGAGGTTGGCAGCACCTGAAGCAAAGCAGCATCAGCACATGGAGTACATTGGGGACACGGCTTGGCAAGCAATGGGACATGGCAAACCTGGGAGCAGCAGAGCTCTTGTCTCTCTGCACAGGAAGGGGTTTGAGAGGTGACAATTCAGGTGCCTACAGCACTTCAGCCTCCAGCTAGCTGTAGGACCTCAGCACTTAAAAGTCTACCCTGGACCAAATGCATTTGGAGAGTTTTGTTTTCTGTTTCAGTCCACTGCTGCATAAAACCATCCAGGATCTGCCCACAGCACAGAGCTGAGCACAGCGAGCTTACAAAAAAATCCAGAGAAATTCCTACAGTGAGGACCAGAAAGCCACAGAGGGGAGCAGAGCCCCCAGCTGAGCTGACCCCAGTCAGCCAAGCAGCCACCAGGGGATGGGGCTGCTGCTGCCACTGAGGTTCCTCCCAGCACCCCGAGCCCCAAAGGCTGCCCAAAACCAGCATCCTGACATGGGGCCACCTGGCACTGGTCTACGGGGGAAGAACTCAAGACATGAATCCCAAATCCTGAGCATCGACTTGAAGTACGTGCTTTGGACAAGTCCTGGTCTACCAGTGTTAATCTAACACAACCATGCATGGAGAACAGGAGACAGTAGAAGGGTCTGGCACAACCCCACCACGTGCCAGCCCTGCCCATGGGGCACAGATGGGGCCTTCTGCTTCATACTTGGAAGGTCTCACACCTCCCAGTGCTCACAGTGGAGATGAGGGCTGTGCTGAACAGCTCTGTCACTGCTTACCGGCTTTTGGGTTCATGGGATTTTGTTGCTTTGGGCTTTTTTTTTTGTGATTTCCCAATTTCTGGCTGCTTCAGCAGCTATCCACAGCAAGCCCACAGCAAGAAAAAGTTTAGGGGGAACAGGGAGGCTGAGTTACAGACGTCACCAAACGAAAGAAGAAGAAACAGGAAAATACAAAATCAGCGACATCAAGCACTGAAGCTCTGGAGGAAAAGCCCACTGCTCAGAAGGCAGGACAGGGCATGGGAAGGTTTGCAGCACTCAATCCTGCCCAGGCAAGGTGCAGGCAGCCAGCCCAGCTCGGTACCTACCCAATTTCTTCTCCAGCCTCTATGTGCCTCGTGCTGAAGAAGGCGATCCTGGGAAAGCGGAGGTCCTGGTGAGACATGAAGACTCGCACGGGGATGAGGTTTGGCTCACAGAGGTGGTTTATAAAGCGGCTGATGTTGCCATAGAAACGGGCATCTATGCAGTACACCTCTCCATCCTAGAGGGAGAAATGGTGCGTGTTTCATTAGATGGGATTGGTTCTAGAGTTATTACTGCTACTTGTTTGTTTGTTTGCTTTTTAAAAAAGGCAGTGAGCGAGCTAGCAGCCCTTGTGCTGGAGATCTCCCACTCTGGAGATCCTCAAAAAGAAGAATGGCCAGGGAAGGCTTTAAAAGGACTAAACACATACTTCTGCATTCAACACAGCCCCGAAAATAGTTTCCCGTGGAACACTCTGCCCCTGTGAGCCCAAAGACCTTTCAAAAATGCTCTTGACACTGGCTGGCACAACAGCTCTCCCCAGATCTGCTCTGCTGAAGCACTGGTTTGGTGCAGCGGGATTTGCGTTCTGGGCAGAGCAACAGCTTATGGGTAAAAGCCACTGGACAGGGGAACAGGAGCCCGTTCTGTCCTGTCATTGAACATGACAGCCAGGAAAACACTAAGCCAGAGCCTAGAGAAAACAGTTTTTTCTGCAGATAAAAGTGAGAGTGAGAACACAGAAATTCCCTTTCCAGAGAGCCCAGACAGCAGTCACACTTTGTTTTCCTTGAAAATAAAAGAACCCCCCTCAGGGCTTTTTTATTCCAATACAGAATGACTGTGCAAAGCAGAGACTTTAATTACAGAAGCTAATTTCTGTTGCAAAGAGGCCAAAAGCAAAAGGATCCATTAGCTGCGCTCAAACTCCCTTTTGGGCAAGCACCTTGCAATCTTTAATGGATGAGCTGGGTCAGATCACACTGCCCAGCTGGTGCAGGAGCCCAGGGAAGATGTCCCAGTGATTGGGGAGGCATCACCCTCACAGCCCCATGCCACACAGAGTGCTGCGAGCTCTGATTTCAATTGCATTTAAGTCTCATCCCTTCTTCACCTGTGGAAATGCCACCTTCTGTAAGGACAGCATCAGCCACCCCAGTGAGCAGCTGGGAAGATCTGAGCTCTTCACCATACAAACCAAGATGCTCTCCTTGAGAAAGCAGGCAGCATTCCCACAGCCAATGAGGACAAGTCCCAGAGCAAAGTGCTTCTCACCTCGTTGCAAGAGTTTCAGGAATGTCAGAGGCAAACAGAGAGGAAGAGCAGAATGGGGTAAGAGGATGCACACGGATGACTCTGCAAACATCTGCATCACTTCTTACACCTAAGATCTTCAGTGCTTAAAAAGGACCTTAGGATTTGGCACTTAGGGATGCATTTTGGTGGGCATGGTGGTGATGAGTTGACCACTGGATTAATGATCATAAAGGTCTTTGCCAATCTTAAGGATTCTGTGAAGAACATTTATTTCAAATGGCTTTCAATGCTCAGCAGCTGCGATGCCAACGGTTCCCAGTCAGGCTTAGGACCACATGTGGGAAGGGGAGCTTAACACCAATAGAAAGCAAGCACACCAGATAAAACTCATCCTCCCATCTATCAGAAATAGTGTGTTTTTTCTGGCTCTCTAGTACAGAGACAAAAATAAAAATAAAAAATAATCCCTTTAACCTGTAGAAACCCAGAAGGTATCTACTGTGCTATGTATTCTTCCCTGAAAGCCCAGAACAGGCCCTGACTTCTGACTGCTCAATGTTTGCCCTCTTCCAGACACAGGAAGGGATGTGACTGCAAGACCTGGCACGTTGAGTGATTCACCACACACATGGCCCCCAGTGACAGCTCAAGGAACAAAGACATCAGAAATGACGTCCCCAACATTTGTGCTTCAGCACAAACTGCATCCAGGCCACTCCTTCAGGACACAGCAGAGCCCTAATGCTCCCCACCCATGATATTTTCCCAGTGCTGGGGATGTGAGGGGACCCACTGGGCTCTGCCTGCCTTCAGCACAGCCTTGGGTTTCTCTGAAGGACCCCTGAGCGACTCGCTGCCTGTTGCACAGATGCTCCACTCTGAAGGTGCACTGATGAAAGACTGTGTGCTTGTTCCTGTGCAAAATCCAGATGTTCTACCTGAAAACAGCCAGCCAGGGGTTAACCTGAAGGCCAAGCAAGACCCGGGCAGTCTCTTGTTCATAAATGCAAAAGCCAGCTTGAAGTCCCTGCTGCTCTTTAACCTCTAGTTACAGTCTGACCCCTGTTTTCAGACTTGCTGCAAGACTCACTACTTATCTTTTTTCAACTTTAATGTCTGTCACTTAAGAAGAAAAATTGTAATAACAAAGCAAAGCTTCTTTGTGACAGGCTGATGGCAGGCACAAGACAAAGACCTCTTTACAACTTCCCTTGGAAGGCGTCCCACTGCTCTGATTCCCCAGCTCAACTTTCTCCTCCCTTCCCAAGGAAAGTCTGAAGTGACGCTCAGATGCTTCAGATCACACTTTTCAAAGCAAGATTTCTGCACTGAGACAGCCCTCTGCAGAGCAGCAGAGGACAACCAACAGCAGCAGAAGCCTCAAGTCCCTGCTAGGGTGTCTGCTGGATCCCTTTGTAAGGGAGCAGCATCTCTTTCAGCTTTGCAGCTCATACATCAACATCTTTTTATGAAGAGCTTACAGAGCTGCCAATCAACACCACCACAAGCCTGCACACTGCTGTATACACACCTGAATATCAACATCTGAACACCTGAACTCAGGATGTTTGAGCATTTTTAATAGGGAAGCTCCTTGCCCTGAGCCTGCTGAGGGCAGCTCGTAACGCTGTGGCCCAGCTGGGCTCTGTTACCATTCCAACAAGCCCTAAAGTCTCATCTCCACAACCTTACGTTTCTAACAAAACCCAGTGAGAAAGCAGCTCTGCTTCCAAGCTTTATGAGCACGCTGTACCATCAAGATAGAGAAATACTCTCCGTGCTCCTTTGGAGAAACAAGACCTTGGGTTCACCTCCCTGGATACAGTCAGTACCTTGTTGTCAAGGTCGAAGAGGTAGGAGTCCTCTTCACGGACGTCTGCCTCGGAGTCAGATATCAGCTCACCAACATACCTGCAGGCAAACAGGAAAGGCAGAAATAAGATGCTTGTGCAACCACCAGCTTGGGTTTAACACCCCCTTCCAGTAAGAGGGGAAGCAAGGGATGCAGCCACCATCACAATCATAGCCTCAGCAGTGCAGGTCATTTCAGATCCGCCCGGGCAAACACAGCTTTGCCAACTCAGAGCAGCTAAAATCTGGCTCCAAGCTCAGTCTTTTCAGGGCAACACTTTTAATATTAAAAATGGAGTTTTATTTCCAACAGAATTCACTCTTTCCTTTCGCAATCCTCTTTGTTGGCCAAGATCAATACAGTAATCCAACTCTCCTTATGTCCACTGTTGGACTCACCTCCTGTACAGTACTGTCATGTCTGTGCTGTTTACATTCCAATGTAAAATGTTTGTTCCCCATTCTTCCAACATTTGAACTGATTACGTATGCTGTACACCTGAAAAAGTCCTGTTGTAAAAGTCCCAGGTCTAGACAAACCTGTCAGAATGCCTGGAAGGACGTAGGCTTCTTCCTCATCCTCCTCAAACCAGACCATATCAGAGCTGTGGTCTGAGTAACAATTACACTGGTGTCAAAACAGGTGCAGGGCAGATTGCAATCAGGCCCTCCCACTGAATGTGTGCTCTGTGGTCTGGTTTGCTGAGCAGGACCAAACACAGGCACCACTTCTGACGCTCCAGATGTTGGGTTTGATGACTCAAGTTACAGGAGTCTCTGCTGCACCTGCATTCCCACATCTGCCTCCTGTCTCCAGCTTACACGGTTCTAGGCTGTCAACCTACAACACTTCCTGAACTGAGCAGCCTGCAATCAAAACAAAGACACACAAGAGGAGATGAACTGAGCCAGAGGGAGGAATAGAAGAAAGAAGCTGTAGCACGGTAGATTCTGGTACCCAGCTCTCCGCAGCCTTTGACACAGCACTGATGAATTATAAGCAAAGGACTCACAAAACAAATATCCTTCATAACACCAACAGATGCTCCACCACACCAGCAATTCCCCTTCAGCTTTCGGAAGCATTTTAGAAGCATTAACCAACCGTATCCACATCCCCTTTTGGCCCGAGGCAGCATTTAACTTCAGGGCTCAGGAAGGAGAGCCACGAAACATTAACCTGGAGCAGACCCACGCACTCTGTGACCAGGGATCGTTTGGCTGCAGTTCCCAAATCTAAGCAATCTGGCAGAGCTGTTCTGCCAGGCCAGGAGGCTGCTGTGGCCGTGTGAGATGCTTCTGTTTGCCCCCACTGCATCTTGTTATTTATTAAGAGCTCCCACAAGGCTGCAGCATTACTGGAAACCACACGCTCACTGGTGACCTAAAGCAATAAGAAGATTGTGGCCAGAGGCAGAGAAATTGCTGTAGCGTGGCACAGTAGCCAGCAGCAGCTTGGAAACAGCTGAATAATGCTGCACAGAGAGGCACTGCTTCAGGGTTACCATTTAGTGGAACAAAAAATCCCACAGTCTAATTAAAAACTGTTGTTTCCATGTTCCTTTAAAGACCATTCCTGCAACTCCTTTCTTTTTTCAGTACTGTTACCAACACAAACTTTTCCATAATTTACCAGGTCCAAAGTTACAGAAAGATGCACAAGGAGCACAACTTCCTACTCCAGGAAGAGTCGGAGCATCCTTCATGGAAGTTAAGGCAATGTCCTTCTTCCCAGCAAGATGCTGAGCACACTGAAGGCAGTAATTTCACATTGCTACTCATCACTGTGAGATCAGAGCATATTCCATGCAAAAACCAGGAGCAATGATACATCCCCAGCACAGGCTGTGCCTGTTTCCACGGGGTGTGGGGGATGGGGTGGGATGCCCAAGATGTCTCTGGCTGAAGGGGTGGCTGAAATATCTGCCTTGGTTCAGATGGTATCTTGCTGGAGCTGTTTTGTACAGGAATTAAATATCTGGAAGCCACATAATGTGCTCATACCAAAAGGAACAGACCAAAGTGTCACAAAACCTCTGGTTTCTGCCTCCAACTCATTCAAAGCCCATACCCACAGTATCATCCTTAGACCAACACAATTATCACCCTTTCAAAGCAGAGGAATAACCCCAGCACAAAGGGACTGCCTGGTCAGGGCACTGCCCTGCGTGGTCAATGCAAAACACTCTTCTCCAAGTGCTGATCCTGGGAACTGCTGTGGGTAAGCAGCCTCAAGCCCCACAGCACCAGGACTTCTTTGCCAGAGGTGAGGAACAGGAGGAACAAAGGCTGCACACATGCAGTATTACAGAGAAATAGCACAGCTGGCTTGAAGAAGAGAAAGGCTGGGGTTGGTGAGCTGAGCGAATAATATGAGTGTGTGAGTGAGAGGGATGGGGACAAGGAGGAGCCTGCATGGGCAAGACAAAAATGAATTCAGCTGCTTAGTATGCAGCTCATTTAGATAATGAAGATGGTGCCCACCTCTGAAACTGCCTCAGCAGCTCCTGGCAAGCGTGGAGGAAGAGTTAAGGGCAGCTGTGGCATCTGAACCTCATCAGCTCTGACTCTCCAACACACCCATCTGTGCTGGTCACCCACTGCACAGAGCTGCCAGTCTCCCTGCGCTGCCAGTCTATCACTACTTATCCCTCTGTAGTGTCTACATTCCAGCAGGACGTGGTAAAGCTGGTGCTGTTTTCTTTAGGAGCAGTTTGCCTACAGGCTCAGGATCATCTCTGGGCACTTAACCAGGACACAGCGACCTTCAGGACCCATCAGGAAGTCCCACCTGAGGACACACATGAGACACTCCCCCGTGACTCTGCCTGGATGAAACACTTGTATTTTCCTTTCTTTGTTTAAATACTGCAATATGCTACACCAGTCTCCTGCTGCCTGACTCCATACAACATCAATAATCCGCTCCATAAAACCCCAGCACGTATTTTCATGAAGGGCAATAGTCCTGTCTTATTTAGAACATCTTAGCTCATTAGTACCACAATGAAGAAAACACTTTCCAAACTGCTTACTGAACAACATCAACCACTTTAAAGCCTTAAAACCACGTGGTTCAGCAGCAGTTTTTTCAACCTGATATAAATCTTAATATTTTCGTTCCTAAGTACTTTATTGAACCAGGGCCTAAATTTGTGCTTAATGCCAAATGCTTTACTGTTTTGACGAATCAGACTAAAGGCAGAGCTGTGACACCAGGGAACCTCTTGGGAAAAGCCAGTCTTGAAGCAGAAAACAACCCTACATGAAACAGTTGTTCCAAATCCCCTCAGCCTTAAAGGTCTTGTACACGGTGAACACATGATGCATTTGCAGCACAACCCAGATCTGTCTCATTCCTCACTGCTCATGCGTCACAGGGGCAGCAGAGCCCAGACCCACAAGCTGACCACAGACTGCAGCGAGGTGGAGAGGGGTGGAGAAAGCTCCATGCCACGAGGAAAGGACGAGCAGAGCAGGAAATGGGATCAGGAAGCCTCGCAGTGAGGTGAGCTGCTCTGCTCTGTGCCAATTTGATTTGCAAGAAATCACGTGCTGAGCATGCCAGCCCTTGGGAAGTGCTGCATTTGTGTGAGCTAATGAAAGCTGAAGGAATAACTTACTCGCACACAAAGGTTCCCAGTGGAATGTCTTGCATCGTTCGCACACCCCAGCCCATCTTTTGCGTCCGATAGAGCTGCAATCGAGTCCTGGAAAAAAGGAAATGAAGCCACATCAATAGCAGCACTGAGCAGAAAGGCAGCAGGGGAAAGAGCAAAAAAAACCAAACAACCAAACAACCCTGCAACCTCCAACCAGCACAAACTCAAAGAGAATATTTCAGTGTTCAAACCCTCTGTTCTCAGTCTGGTGCCACTATACGTGTGCTCCATGCACCGGGATGGCACTGCTTCTCCCTGCCCAGCTGCAGCTGGTGAGGTGCATGCTTGGTGCCTTGCACACATTAAGGACTGGGGAAGAGGGTATGGCAGCAGATGCTCCATGCTGATGCACAGCTGATGATTCACACACAGGATACCAAAATCCCACCTCCAACATTTCTTTCTCTTTCACACACGTGCCCAGCTCTCAGGGGAAGGTGCAAAGGGACTTCAGGCTCCAAAGGGAGCGGTGCTGCAGGGGGAGGCGGGGAGCTTACACTGAATTAAGAACACCTTGAGCTAAGTGTTCTGATCCCTTTGCCCTCTGCTGAGGCCAGTGCATTTAGCAGCTCCATCGTATCCAAATCCCTGGAGGAAACGTAAGGAAGAAACGCTGCAACCTGAACCTTCTTGGTGTAATAGCTGCTCCGTGGAATTTTACTGATGGAGTTTATAGGCAGAGAAACAATCCCGTAAGTCATTCTGTCTCCTGCTCAGCCAGAACTTGAGTTAAGTGCAGGATGAACCATCTCCACTAGGGAATGTTCTCTCTTTCCCCATGAGAAGCAACCCCCCCTCTCAGCAACGCTGTTATCGGAATAAAGAGAAATCTGATGCTCACCTTAACTTCACCCTGTTGGTTTTTCCAGTATTTCTCTCCTCTTGCCCCCACCCATTCCCTCTTTGCACCATCAGCTCAAACCACGCTTCCTCTCCAGGGCTGATGGTTTACTCCTATTTGTTCACAGCTCCAGGAGCCTGAACCAGAGCTAAACAAGACACCAAGAGAACACTTGAGCTGACAAAAAAACAGAAGCATCAGATCTAACTGCATGGCTCCTGAATAAACACTCGTACAGACACCGAAGCTGTGCAGTTTGGATAGGAAAAACTACAGGGCTGAAGTTCTGTGGAAACACATCCAGCCCTTTCTTATTTTTGAAGTTGCAAAATGTCCTTGGAAATGTAAAGCCCACCAAAAAAAAATGTGTTGTCAGTACCATGAAAGATTTGCAAAAGTCTTTTTTTTCCAGGAGGATTCCTTAGAAGTTTGTCCTGATGCATTCAGTGCATTGGCAAACTTCTCTGAAGCAAAGGTGCAATACAAAACATTTTCATTACTGTCTGGCACCAAAATGAACAGAGCCTAATCAGCAACACCTCTGAAGCCAACAGGTATCCAACTCAGAGAGAGTCAGGCCAATAAGTGGGAAACTTCAAGCAACCAATTCTTTGCCTGCCAGCCTGTATTTCTAAAATCAACTTCTATCTTATGACAGCTTCTAAACTGAGGCTCTGCATTTTTTGTTGCTCTTATGTCTCTCACAGCTCTCTACCTGACAAGTTATACCCAAGGCTGCCCTTGGGTGCAAACCCAACACCCTTTGTACACTCTGTGGTCCAGCTGAGAAAGACCAGCACAATTCTCCCATGCGCTGGGGTCAGCAGCATGGCACAGATCCCAGCTGAGCTCATTGCCTACTGCTGTTCATCCCCACCTGCAGCAGACAGAGGAAACTCCTCTGCCTCTCACTGCTGTGTGGTGGCACCTGCCCAGCTCTGCTCCACCTCTGCAAGTTCTGCACTTTGTGTGTCTGCAGGCAGAGCCGAGGCTCTGTGCTTTGTCCCACAGCAGGCTGTGTGTGGCTTCTCACCTGAGCCCATTCTGCACCACCCGGTTCCTACAGGTCCGCCAGCACGAGCAGGCATGATTGCACTCAAAGATGAGCGGGGGCTCAGCCATGTTGAACTCAGGCAGGAGTCGGCCGTCCTGAAGAGGAGATGCATTCAAGACAGAGTTAGTTTTCTCTTCTTGTAAACTTTCCCAAATGCAAAACGGGTGAGAAGACCCCTATTGCAGAGGCATGCCCCAAAACAACCTCAGAACTCAACTTCTGCAAGGCTTCGTTCTGCCCTAGCAGCAGCACGCAAGCCACTGTCACAAACAGCTGACAAACAGCAAGAAACCATTCAGGTTTTTGCTGCCTGGCATCACCCTATGCACCATCATCAAAAGTATCTCACAGTGCTGTGCAAAAAATGGTGTGCATCATCATTATCATCTTTTCATAGTGCTGGAGGGGAGAAGCATATGCTTTGTCTATCTCTGGAATAAAGCCTAAACTTCCACGTTACAAGGCCAGCACGTCCAAGTTCTGTAAACCACATTATCTTCCCAAATAACTCTCCCAAAAAAGCTACAATTCAATTATCTACCAACCATATAGGATTAAGTAAGTGATAGAGGCAGTTCATCACACTAAACAAATATGGCTTTTATGGCTTTAAAGATATAATCACCTATTAATGTGTAAATAAAATGCCTACAAAGCAAAGAAAGATGCCAATACTCCCCCTGGGAGAAACTTACAGAGATTAAGAGAACTTCTGATCTTAGCAGAACCTGTCCAAATATTAACCTCAAAACCTCCCAGGCGGACTGAAGCACACTTACCCAAAACAAACTGGGCTTCTGGCAGTGATGTAGTTAAAACATATTTACTTTGCATTCATCCAGAAGGATCCTGATAAGTACAGGTAGGCAAAAATCTCTCTTCTACCCTCCCCCTGTTTATATATTACAGCATTTTCTATGTCTTTCTGAAATGGAAGCTGATTTCACGCATGGGTTATTAAATGCTCTCTATCACATGGGTATAATTAATGGCTCAGCTGGCATGACAGCAACACAAACAAATAACACTGGAAAAGCTTCCCTGAGTATACATTTTGTTATTATCACATACACCTCAAAGCTGAGACTGCAACTCCAGGCATTTTAAAACAAAAAGCAGAGGAGCTGTGCAAGGAATTTGCCTTTAGGTCCTATTAGAAATCCTGAATTTTGCAATATTCTGTTTGCCAACCAAACATGAAGCTGTGCATCCTCACCTTATCATACCAGCAGCGCATACTGAGTTGGCCACACATGCAGTTACTGGAGGAGCAGTCGTCTATACATACACAATACTGAAAGAGAAGCAGAAGGGATCAGCTCCAAGCCACTCCAGCACAAGTGAAAGAGCAACTTCTCTAAGTGGGCCAGCGAGCAAAACCACAAGTCTTCACTTTCTCCTGCCCGCTGCTGGAGTGCCTTCCAAACTTTCCCAAAAGAGGCCACTGCTGCAGCTCATTAGCCAAAAAGGTAACCAGACTCATCAGTTCAGTGTCATGTTTACTCAGTTCTTCAATTCTACGCATAATGGATGGCAAAGGAGTCCAGCCTGCAGAACAGGATCCCGTCATGAGTCACCTTCATCCTCTCCCCACATTACTAACCTTCCTCTGTGCCCTATGAGCTCCACACCTGAGGACAAGGAAAGCTCTGAAGTCACTTGGAAGACAGCATGAGGAAGGTCTCCAAACAACTCTTTAACTCTCACAGCCAGAACAGAGGAAAAGGATAAACAAATGAGAGCTGCACCAGGCAGCACCAGGCTGCAGTAACAGCTGAATGCAGAGGTGAGGTGAAGTCTGGGAAAGGAAAAACAGAAGAATCCCTTCTTCTGGAAATTCAGAGCACAACCTTGGCTTGAACTCAATACGAGGACGAGACATTCCCATTCTGAATGCAAAACTTGGTCTGAGGTGCAGTGCAACATCTCTAAATGCTCGCAGCAGAACAGGACAAAACCACAATCCCTCACCTGTAAATGGGTGATGTTTCTATCAATGTCCATTGGGGAGGTGACACAGTTCTGTGAGACATACTTGTAGTTGCTAGGACAAGGCTCACTGTCCACTGAATTGACACAGGGAATCGGGATCCTCTCATAGCCCCGGGCAATGTCTCTGTCAGAGGCAGAAAGAGAAGTGTCACAGCAGAAAAGCTTCCCCAAACAAGGGGCCATTCAAACACCATCCTGGGGTAGAATCAGTGTCTTTGATCACCGAGCAATTCAGACTAGAACAGAGTTCATATTTTTCCACTCTGCCTTACAGATTATTCTTTGTGTTTGTGAGTATTTCCATTTGGAGGATGAATTTACAAGTCATGGACTGAATCAGCGTTTTTTCAGTCCTGCTAAGCTCCAACTGACCTTCACACCAGTTTAGAAAGCACAGCACAGCACACACTTTCAGTCCTTTCTCAAAGCAGGCTCCTTGCCTTGCCCTGGCCAGGGCTGTATTTCAGGACCCACGAGCAAAGCCAGTCGGATTCTCACCTGCTCACTACCTTCTCAATCTGGACAGGCTTCTCAGTCGATGATTCTCTGAGTGTTTTGTTCATCTGTAGAGCCACCCAGACCTGAGAGTTAAGGCTGGAGCACTGAAGCGGAGTCTCACCCTCCTTGTTCTTTAAAGTGACATCCGAGCCACGGGAAAGAAACAGACTGCAAAACAGTAAGAAAGGATAAGCATCCCTAAGAGAAAGTGCACAAGGGGAAAATGAATTGAATCGCATTCTCCAGCCAGCCCTTAAGGGGCAACGTAGCATCTGCAGCAGTGAATAATCACCTGAATTTTCTTTATAAGCATGGCTCAGTGAATCCATCTACAGGAAGGTGCTGCCTGAAGCCACAGACTGGAGCTCTGGGCAAATCCTGCCCTGCTCCAGGTCCAACAAATGCCTTGCTGGTGACCAGCCTAACTTCAGGCAAGCTGGAAACTCTTTCTGGGAGGGAAAGATAAGGGGTGGGAACGGTAGGCTGGAAATGGTTAAGTCCAACCAGAAATTTGTATTGGACTTGGCCCTTGTTTGTACTCACCAGCTTTTGGTGAGGACACATGCTGACTTTATTCCTAGCAGTGACTAAACAAAAGAAAAGTCTTGTTACCCTATTAAACCACAAAAAGCTCCAGGACTACCCCTCGTTTTGTGATCCTTTTTACACCAGCTCTGGCAGCAGGCAGTGTTTCACACCCCCTGTGCCTAGGAGCAAGGGCAACAGAGAAGCAAGCCCTGCATCCCAATTTTGGTCTGTGCTTAAATGCCAAAGGCATTTCAAAAGCTGTCCCAAGCTTGCAGCCAGCACCCAGCCAGAAAGGAGCAACCAGGGGAAGGGAGAGCAGCAGCAGGCTGGAGCTGTACTCACACAACACACTCGTAGCGGTTCTCTCTGGCTGCAATGTGCAGGGGGGAATCTCCATGAATATTCACCGCATGTAAATCACACTTAGCAGCCAGCAGAATCTCTGCAATGTCAACACAGCCAGAAAAAGCAGCCCAGTGCAAACAAATATTTTCCTCCTGGAGGGGAAAAAAACAGAGCAGAGGTTTGTTTAGTGCATCAAAACCCTACTGCTTTGGGAACTCCATCATCCTCAGCTCTACACCTGAGGCACTGAACACATAGCTTCCTTCTCCTCCCCTGCACTGCTCATGCTGGCTGGGAGTCCCAGGGCGGGCAGGGAAACCTCAACAGAGCTGAGCAGGGAGTTCTCACTCCAGCCACCTCCGCACACGGAACTGGGGAGGCTGCATCAAAATGCTCCATTGCCTTTCTTTTGCACACAGACTAATTGTCTATCTGTGAGCCACAAAAACAATCTGGATCAATCCACGAGAGAGGTGGCAGACATGAATAAGCACAATGGAAAAGGCTAGAAGCTGAACTTGCCCAGCCCAGACACACAGCAAAACTTGCATGTCTCCCAAGGTACAAAATCGAAGAGAAAAAGTCTCTGCCAAGCAAGAACAGAACACAGGCTGTAGGGTATGTGAAAGTGCTCGAAAGAGAACCATGAGCTACATGGAAAGCAATCAATCTGACTTTGGGCATCTCTTAAATACTGTATGTACTCATCTCTCACTAGCTGCACTAGAAATAGCTGAACACTCATCTATTTGATGGAGATATTTTAAGCGATGATACTCTGTTTTCTGTTACAGTGCAACTGGCAGCACTTAAGAGTCCTTCCCCCCGACAGGCCCTAAAGATGCCCGATACAACAGTGCAATCATAGAATGGCCTGTGTTGCAAAGGAGCACAATGCTCATCCAGTTCCAACCCCTGCTGTGTGCAGGTCGCCAACCAGCAGCCCAGGCTGCCCAGAGCCACATCCAGCCTGGCCTTGAATGCCTGCAGGGATGGGGCATCCACAGCCTCCTTGAGCAGCCTGTTCCAGTGCAATGACAGTAATGATCACCTTTTTTTATTATTATTTATTTTTTTTAAATAAAAATAAAGCACATCTTAAAGTCGTTGCAACCTAACTTAGATCTTCTCTTAAATGAGGAGGCTGCTGGCACGCACCAGGGAGTGGGAAGACCTCTTTGTGCATGGCTTCTGCCTCCTACAGTGGTAAAATCCAGGAAAAAACCTCACCAGCATCATGTACTGATCTATAAAAGATTAATGCTGTTGATTGCATGCTGCATGCTGCTCAGACACGTTACAGACACCTAGATTTGCTCCTTCGTTTAGCACTGGCTACTGCCTAGCAGGAGCATAATTACAATCAAAAGCGTTTCTCACGGAGTATGATGTTTCCTAGCACAAATGACATCTTAATGGCTGCAATCAGGAGACACAGAGCTGTAGGTACAGTAACAGATATGTGATATATACATCTGCTAAGGGGATATTTTTCTTCCAAGTGAATTGTTGACTGAGACAATTTGGTTTTCATCATTTAACATGTGAACTTTTAACTGGCAGCCAAAGGCTTCTGTGGCAGCTCAAACAAGAGTCAGCGCAGACTGTTCTAGGGTCCTGAAGTCATGCAACAACCCAAAGACCCCTCCTCCCACTTTGACTTTAGCTTTTATGAAGAGTATCAGGTCCAGAACTGCCTGGGAACTGTTGAAGTTACCAAGGAACGGAGGCTGCTCCTACTAAGGGCTTTTAGACTGGGGAAGGCAACTCACACATGGGGCCACTCTGAGCTCCGTGGGACAAATGTGCCAGCACCTACCCCTGCCAGCACCCAACAGACACCAGAAAAGGCATTTAGGGAGACAAACACGAAACGGCGCTTACATCCATCAGATTCAGAAAAGCACTAGCAGCCCTGGAGAAGAAAATATATTGTCATGAGGTATGCTAGGGCGTGAGATGAGATGATACCAACTACCTCTCATCTCTTACAGACCCAAGCCTGGAGTAGCTCTTCATACCCAAGCTTCCCTTGCAGATACTTCTGGGGTTTCAACAGCAGAGGGGGAAAAGACAGAAATACTCTATTAAGAAAAAAGGAGCATTGCTGAGGTACTGAATCTCCTGAGCAGAAGTGAATGTGCTTCCTTTCTTCTCCCCCATCACCTCCCTCTCATTTTCTCTTTTTACTTGAAAAACTCTGTGAATTCAGCTGGCACAGGAAGACACCCAGAGCCGCTGGGCCCACCGAGCTCCCAGGGAGCCACGTGGGAGGAGGAGGACTGCTTGCTTGCCTGGAAAGCTTCTTCTAGAGTAAGGAAGAACATTTTCCCAGCCAACACTCACTGTCACTTCTGCATAGGGATCACTGTGCCTCCCTGTACTGAGCCCAAAGTTGCTGTTCTTGGGCTCTTCTGGTTTCTGAACAGAGATTGCGGATTATTTCTAAAACAGATTCCAGGAAGAACCTCACATTGTCTCGAATGTTGATGTCTGACCCCTTTGCAAGCAGTAGCTTCACCAGCTCAATATGCTTGTACTCAGTGGCCCAGATCATCGGCGTCCAGCCTCCGTCATCCTGGGGAAGGAAAGAAAAGGTGAGACAAGTAGAACAGGCACAGCGGTCTCCTGCTGGTTCCCACAAGCCTAGGAAGCCATGGCAGCATGTGTCTTGCTAGGAGCCACAGACCCCTTCCCTCCCCACGTCTGCCTCACTGCAGTGTTTCTGTCTATGCGGCTGCAGGGAAAATTCCCTCATGGATCCTGCAGAGCCCAGCAAGATCCGAACCAATCTGCCCCAGCAGATTTGAGTTTATTTGCAGCTAAGCAGACTGGAGATGGGTCCCTAAGGTGTTCAAATCCAGCTGACTGTCAACAACAAAGAACACCCAGCTTCTGTAAAAGCACTTGCAAAAGCTCGCCTAAGCTCTGAGATGGTCAGGGCTAGGGTAGACCTATCCCACAGCACGTGTATGATCTCACCCTTCTGCCAGAAGGAGCACAGTGGCATCCTTTGGAAATTCAGGGCTAAGGGGAAACTGTAAATGGAGACACATGGAAGGGAAGTTCCCCTGAGGTCAGCAAGGAGGTTTCTGCACCAGGCCAGAAGGGGATGTCCTCATTAGACAAGAGCAGCTTCTGCACCTTGCAGATAGGTCTCACCTGGCAGTTGACATCCATCTTTCCTATGGACAGGAGATACTGAACAACGTCGTAATGCCCCTTCTTGGCAGCCAAGTGCAGACACGTGGAGCCCTCCGCGTCCTGGACACAAGCACAGAACAAGTCCTCAGGGAACGTCCCTTCCCCACATTCCCCATGTCTGCAGACCACCAATGATGCTGAGGAACATCAGAGAAGTCATCAGAAGAACATCAGACAAATCAGAGAACTCCAAAAGCAGCAGCAATCAGTACTGGCACAGAGCAGAGGCAGCTTTCCAGAATGCTCAGACATGCAGCCAGTGCAGACCAGAAGGGTGAGAGCAAAGGCTATGGGAAGAGACACCTTTATAAGCACAGGGAAGGTAACAGCCCCAGCCCCTGGGTGCTCCCCTTCCCCAGCAGGCAGTGTCTGTGTTGAAGAGCCCAGAGGAAGCATGGATCTCTTACACAGCACTGCACTTCAATGTAAAATACTCTGTTTATACTGCTTTTTGCTGTGTTTATTAGCACAAGGCTTAACCCAGCAGCTGGCAGCAGGGACCAAGACCCCAGGGTGCCCTCGGTCATGTACCCAGACTGGGGAAACAGAACAACAGCAATGGCTGAAAGAAAAAATGCTATGGGAGCAGAGTCTGGTCGATGGGCAGGCTGGGGCTGTGAGTCATGATGGAGACACTCCCACACCAACACCAAAACTCTTGGCTGGAGTCTGATTTTTATCAGATGCTTCTATTCCAAAAGTTCAGATTACAGCAAGGCCTGGAGACCAGGAAAGGAGGAGGAAATGAAAGGCTGAAAAGCAAGAGACGTTTCCTTCCTATTACAGAGTTTTCTGATGGAGGACACTCCCTTGAAAAGAGAACACAGCACAGGGATGGGAAGCCTCACATCAGGGATCGTACTAAGGCGGTCTCCTAGGGGCAAAGAAGAGTTTTCCACTCTCCCTTGAGAGCCTGACAACTGAATAATGTCACACCTCCCTCTCAGATTAATATAAGCTAAGTGCAGCTTCTCCATCCTACAGTGAGCTGGCGTATTTTAATACAGACTTTTGGGCAGTTTTGAGTGGCTTGCACATCTTATGGACAGGATCAGGTGGCTTCAGCCTGAGGGCTTCATCCCCACCCTCCCCCCCCCACAGGCTGGGGGCACTCAGTGCACACCCCCAGCAGATAACTGTCTGATTTTTCATCGAAATGGCTGGAGCTGATTGCAAACTGCAATGTTGCTACTTTCCGAAGATGACTAATTTGGTGCAAGAAACTAATTAACATAATAAACTAGTCTAGACTTCAGACGTGATCTCAGGCTTCTAATTTGTTTTTGCTGGCTCAGGGGTTTTTCCTTCCCTTTACCTTCAGAAGCAGGAAACCTCTTCTCTCCGACATCAATAAATCAGGTGAGTGACGTCCGGACTGCTGCAAGATGCAGGTTCATAGTGGCTGCTGTCCTTGCATGTGCCTGCCCTGCCCCTTCCCTCTTCCCAGCCTCCCAAGGAGTCATCCAAGGCTTGGGGTGGACAGCAGCTCTTGTGCAATCCTCCCAGCCTAGCCAGCTCCATCACAAAACGTGCATCCTGGCCCTGCTGTGCTTCCTAGCAATAGCAGAGGAGTGAGCCAAAAGCAGCAGGTTGTAACAATAAGAAGTTCACATGGGGAGGGTTCTTGTACTCCAAATAGAGTCTGATTTATGGGGCTAATAAACGATCTGTATATTTTCCAAGACTGCAAAGCAACCCAAGCATGCTAAAGGCAAACAGACAGCTGCATTTTATTGTATTTGTTTAAATTAAGGGGTAGGGAGTTTAAAGACTGGGTCCAATTCTGCCACTGCGGCGTGATTGCAAGAAACAGCACATTAGACCTTTGGAGATCAAAGCTTCGTGTCACTTCTGCTGGCTTTGCAAGTATCTAATTACCAACCCATTTTAAAATGGCGCCCCAAAAATCTCATTACCAAGAGTCTGCAGAGAAGGAAACTCTGAAATCAAACTCCAAACGCAACGCAATGACACCAGTGCTTCTTGGAGGCCCCATATCAAATCAAACACCCCCTATATTTGGTGCCATGAATTGATGTAGTAAGCAGCTGCACTTCCACACACTGCTCAGAGCCAGGACAGCCTGTCCAAGTCTCTGCACCCAAGACAAACAAACCTTCATTTCCCTACTTCCTGAGCTTAAAACCTTTAAAAAAGAAATGGCAAACAGATGAATGAAGTGCTACCTTAGGATCTACTAGTGCTCCAGCCTTGATAAGGTATTTCACAGTTTCCAGGTGGTTGTTTTCAGCTGCTTCCATCAGTGGGGTCCGCTGGTCTTCAGAGCAGCTGTCTATATTCGCACCAGCCTGTTGAGGAGGCCAAGGCAAACACAAGGACAATTGTAACCTTTACTGGTTAGCAAAGGAAGGATGTGGGAGTAGAGATTTAGTAGCAAGTTTAGCAGCAAGACGTTCCTGAAATTCAGCCATGTTGAGAAAAAAAAACAAAACCACCAGAGGCAGGAGACAGACAAACTTCACCTGTTCTGGAAAGCAGTGCACACTGCTTGCGTCCTGTAGCCAGCAACTAAAGCACAAGGAAGCAAACAGGTGTGAAACAGCTCTTGTCATTGCTGCTTTTGGTACTGATGCTCTATGGATAGTGCTGGTAACAATGCTGGAAAAAAAAATCTGCCTTCATTTCCCAGAAGCTTGGTCTACCCTGGTCTATCATCTCTACTGACACAACAAACAGACAAGCAGTGCTTCCCAGTGTCAGTAGGAACAACCTGCTGATCACAACAGAGGAAGGAGGTGTCAGAAATGCTACAGACTAGCTAACTATTCTATTGAAGTCAATGCCAGTATTTCTCTGAGAACACATGAAGTTCAACATGGGAGTGGCTCTGGACCAATATCTCTACTGTCCCCATGCATCTTGCCCTCTTCAGCTCTTTGATGTAGCTCAATAATCCACCCACTACTTAAAACCAAAAGAAAATCTGAGAAATAGAACAACTCTTGGCACACCATGCATGTACCCACGCACAAAGCAAAGACCTGCTTACAACAGTAACATGCTGCCTCAGTTTCACCAGGCACAAGAAGATGGCCCCATTGCTTCTGTGTGCCTCCCACTGCATGTATTTGTTTTGATCACTTTTGTAAAGCTAGAGCAGTTTAGACCAGAGAAGAGACACTTCAAGTCTAACACGCTGCAAACAATCCCAGCCAAACACACTGCTGCTGCAATAGCCAGACATCAGGGGACAGGGAAGAATACAAAGGATTCTGGAAACAAACCAGCCCTTCTGATCATCAACTCAAATTGTTTGTAGTGTCTTGCAAATTTTGCTCCTTTTACTCATACAAGTCATTCCGTCTGTACTTGTGATAACTCAAGTGAGCAAAGCTCCACCTCCAAACAGCACTTTGAATGCTGAGACATCTCAGCAGCCTCATTATCAAAGAGTGGCTTTGCCACTTTCTCAGAAGACTTTTACAGTTTTCCAGTCACAAAGGGCAAGGAAGACACAACCAGATGCCCAAGGTGCCAATGCAAAAAAAAACACAGCCCTTCAAAGGCCTTCTTTTTTCTTCACAGTGTTCTGGAGAAGATTCAACAGCAGCACTGCTACGTGTTTCACCATCTTCCCTCATTCAAACTTACCAGAGCCCAAATGTCTACATCTCACATAACAAGTGAAACTTGAATCTTCCATCTTTTCACAAGTGTAAAGGACAACCCTGCTGGAGTTGCTCAGATTTTGACAGAAGACAAGACAGGGTCTGACAGCCCGCAGGCTTTACAGCCTACCCACCAGCATTACAAAGAGCAATTTGGCAGCAGCTTGCAGCTACCTGCAGGTCAGCCTGTGCTGCCACATCTGGCAGTGCACTACACTGCAGGGTGTGCTCAGGCACAGAGCATCCCACATGCACTACAGTGCCCTGCATCAAAGCTCCACGTGCTCACTGCACAGACAGTGAAGCTGGTATGGAGAACAGCCTGGAAAGACATCTTCAGTCACATCACCAAAGTTTTCACATCACTCTGCACCACTCCCTCCTGCAGCAAACAGTGTGAACGAGGAGGTTTTTCAGTGCTGGTTTTTCAACTGTGCTGTAGTTTTGTGGGGCACAAGACCAAAAAACAGAAAACTGCTCACACAGAAAAACATTTAAGCAGAGACAGACCTGAATCAGCATATGGCAGATGTCCACATGGCCAGACTCAGCAGCAGCATGGAGAGGGGTTCTCTTACTCTGATGCTCCATTTTAAAATTAGGGTCAATTCCATCCACTGAAAAACACAGCAGAGATGCCTTCAACCACAATTCAGAGATCAGAGAAAAGGTAACAAGACAAGGAGCTCTCGACTGAAGCTTTTAAAAGACTTTCCCCTAGCCCATCCTCAGCCCTTCTTACTATACATGCAAGCCAGAAAGCTCTCAGAGTAGTTCCAAGGACATCTGGTATGCAACAGCCCTCAAGCAAGGAGCTTCAGAAACACCACAGAATATAATACTTCTAATTTTTGTAGCAATTACCATTTCTACAAAAGCCACTTCCTTCATTCCCCTTCTCTCACTGCAATACCATCAACACCGTGCAAGGATAAGAAGGAAAAAAATAAAGTGCTGCTGTTGGAAACAACAGAAAGTCAGCACTACCCAGCTTTATTGTGTCAGGACCATGATTAACTGCACTTAGTATTAGTGATCTTTTTTGCACTGCTGTAAGGAAAAGGGCTTCAAAGAGGATGGAGCTCCAACATGAGCTCGGGATCTGGCCAGAAATTCTCACAGCTGTGCAAAGACTGACAGATGATGATGACAGCCAGACAAAGATGTCTGGGCATGATAACATGTTGCATATGATGGGGCCGTAGCTAAATATCAATGAATAACATTTTGGTGCTATTGAAGACAGGAACAATGAAGCTAATACTTGCTAGGAGAAAAAAAAAAAAAGGGTGATAAATGCAGAAGAACAGAAAGCATCCAAAAATGTACTTTGAAGTACTGGAGTGGAAAGGAAATGATCCCAAGTAAAACACTGTGTCCTTCACAAGGAGATATTGCTTGGGAATATTTGTTGGTAAAAACAGCCCCAACCAGCTGAAAATCATCTGGTGACAGTTACGTACCCCCAGAACAAAGCCCTGTGTACTGAAGTTCTCCTCTTTTCCGCTTTCTTGCTGAACTGGTCTTAATTTAATCACACTCCCATCTTTCTACCTCTCCACTGGATGCAAATAACCAACCATCCCACTGCACGGGGAGACAAAGTTCTACTGGATTGGAAAAATCAAACATAGGTCATTTGGGGTAGAGAGAGCTTCTCTGGATAAAACTGCGTCCAAATGCAGAAGCAAGCTGGGAGCAAATCCACATTTCACAGAAAGATTAAGCCATTTCTGATGACACATTACTTGCAAAAGTGGCTTTCTCCTCCCAACACCACTCACAAGGGGCAGTGGGGAATATGACGTGCTGCCATGCTGGGAACTGGGCTCTGGCAGCTGCCTGGCAGGAGCTGGGAGTACAGCCAGACATCCCGTGTCCTGGGAAAGAGCCACCTACCCAACATAAGCAGGACTTTTTGCAGCTCTCCTTGCCTCGCAGAGAAGTACAACTGCTTTGGATGGAACCGTAACTTCTTGGGTCTGCAGCAATGGGGAAAGAGGCAGAATTAACACACACCGAACAACACTCCCCAGTATCTTTTACCCCAACCCACACCATAGGCAAGAGAAAGTTTGTTCCTCTGGTACAGCTCCAGAATGCCAGCAAAACCAAAGAACATCAACTCTTTAGGAGACATTCAAACCTCCAGCTTTGGTCACAGTCAGCCTTGTTCTAACAGCAGCCACACTTACTCAGAGCTGCTAATAAAATTTTCTGGATCTTACTGCTACAAACAGGAATTCCTAGTAGTTATAGCTGAAGTTAGAGGTCTGGTGAAAAGCAAAGTCCTCCAGACAAATCACTATGGCATTTAGAGCTTTAACTGCTTTCTGGAATCAGTAATCCGCTGAAGTTGACAAGGGACTGAAGTGAATAAGAGAACACAAGAACTGAGTGGAGTCAAAATCCACAGAAGCTAAATCTCAGTTTTCCTTAGGTTAAGCAGCTCTGCTGGGAACTGGAGAGACCCAGAGGCCTTTTCCTTACTTTTCAGAGTCCAGAGCAATCAGGGCACTTTCCAGAGTTTCTTTAACTGGTCCCTGGGTCAGGCTGGTAGTAGGCTTTGGAAAAACTGAAGATCCAGCTAAGTCAAATCCCTCTGCAGCCGAACTTTCTGGCTTGTCTTCCTCAGACAACCGCGTTCCAGTGACACTGAAAATGAGAGAGAGCCAAAGCACAACCATTACAAATATACAACACTGTGTGTATCTTAGGCTAAAGAAGGAAAGGAAACTGATTTTAAATTGACCGACAGCATAAGCAAAATTGAAACACAAAGTAAGATATTTCACAGGTTTTTTGGTAAGAACTTGCCCTGAAAAGGAGTTGCATTGTCCTATGACTACATTTTGATGTACTCTTTGCAACAGGCAACAGAAGATCATGGGGCTGAGGGCACTGCCCTGCTCACTGCAAGTCATAAAAGCCTTGAGAACAAGATCAGATCACACGGGAAGGTGAAGTACTGTTCATCACAGGGATGTCTTCATTTATGTTTTCCTCTAGGTTTTGATTCTCTGCATCTGTACCCACTGCTGTGGGCAGCTAAGCAGCTCAGGCTAGGTATTCCACATGAATTTCCCTCTCATTCACCACACATGGGGATGTCAACTCACTCCACTACTATTTCATAGAATTTCATAGAATGGCCTGGGTTGAAAAGGACCACAATGATCAACCCCCTGCTGTGTGCAGGTCGCCAACCAGCAGACCAGGCTGCCCAGAGCCACATCCAGCCTGGCCTTGAATGCCTGCAGGGATGGGGCATCCACAGCCTCCTTGGGCAACCTGTTCCAATGCCTCACCACTCTGTGTGAAAAACTTCCTCCTAATATCCAACCTAAACCTCCCCTGCCTCAGTTTCATTTCTAACAATAAGAGGATGGAGTTGTATTAACCCCCAGCTCGTCCTGTGTTTGCTGGGCTCCTCTCTGGCACTATAGCACAGAATAGGCCTGCAAACACCTGCAGCTGAGCTTGGCTTGTCAGAGCAGCACCAGAAAACACCTTGCTCTGCCAGCAGGAGCACAAGCATTCAAATGCAAAGCACGGCCTGGCACAAGGGTTGAGGCTGCCACGTGCTCCTATGCTCACCTTCCCGTCGTGGTGTCAGCCCTTCCTTCCACTGCTGCTGGTTTCTGCTGCTCGTAGGTCAGCGACACCGTGGAAGTCGTGTCTGCTTTTGCTATTGTCACCTCCTTTGCCTTGGAGGCATCTTCCCCGCAGTGTGGGCAGTAGCTCGTGTCGTTGACCTGGGAGGCACAGTTCTTGTGGAAACGGTGGGAGATGCTGCTCTCAGGCTGACACTCCATGAAAGTGCCCTAAAAAAATCAGAGGAGACATTCATACCTTGGTCACTACGTGCCTTACCCCTTCCACATGCTTCATCCGCAGAGCTCTTAAATACTTCATTCATGACCACTCCTGTCCCTCGCGCTTCCAGTACAGTAAGCAAGCACTGCCACTTCTTTAGAAGAGAACAAAACCAAGGTAATGGGAAAAAACTCACTTGGTTAGGAACTGCAAAGCAAGTTTTTTTTAATTGCACGTGGGAAACAGAACCACAAAGTCCCATTTTCCAGCTCTAACACTTGAGGCTCTTGCTTACGTTTCTAGAAGTGCCAGTGTACTGTAAGGACGCTCCCAATACTGGAAAAGAAAACTTCAAACCAGTCAGCACTAGAACTACCAAACACATCTGCACGCAAACCATTCGAGGAACAAATAATACAATTACATCAGCTGTCAATCCCACTGTAACCCAAAGCATGCAACTTCTCTCTTTGGACCAGCCCTGTATGCTGTTTAACCCCATCTGCTGACAGATGTGAGCCACCTTTCTACAAATTATCTTCTCTTTCCAGCAAAGTCTTCCAAGCTGAACTGCACCCCAGAACAAACACACTGTTTGTTCTGTGATATCAGTGCTACCTGAAGCCCCACCGTGCTCTGTGTTATTAGTGACTGATAACACAGACAAACACTGCCAGTTTTACCTTTATGAACTATGAAGTCACTCAGAGACGTAACAGCATTAAGGAAAAGTTAGTTGAAGCCCACTCTTCTCCTGGATTCACAGTCCTCCCAAGAAATCTAATTAACTATTTCAGCATTGCAAAATGCCTTCGAGCGCTTTGAGGATTTTATCTTTTAAATGATCTTTGACTCAGCATGAAAACTCAGGACGGTTCCATTTATTACAATAATGTTGAGACTTCCCTAGCATCTTTCATTGAGTCATCTTAAAGAACCCTAACATCAGACAATCAACCCACCCTATCACCCTGGGAGGCCCTCAACAAGTGTTTCACCAGCAAGGAAACAAGGACACCAATGGCTCAAAGCACTGGGCCAACGCTATTAAAACCTCAGTGGCAGAGGTGGAAGAAGGAGCAGGAGATCTCAAACACTGCCTTGTTCCAGTGCCATCACTCAGGTTCCCCACCTAAACCCCTGTGAATGGTGGGGGGGGGGACAGAAGCCCTCTCCTGTATGCAGACTCTTTCAAGAAGCAGGCTAACACCATTTGTGATGTGATTGACTGTACAGAGGAAGAAAAAAACAAACAAGTTCCAAAAAAATTCCAAAGGTATGACTTCCACCCCTTTGGTAACACCCCTTGAGGTCTCCAGGAAGTTACAGGTGAGCATTGCAGCTACCCTCACACACATTACTGTTGAAAACACCATCTGACGTGCTGTGGAACGAGGTGGAGCTTATGCCAGGAAGTCAGTAAACCCCTTTGGGTAAATCTCCACCTTCACCTCTTCCAGCTACTGCGACAAGTACCCCCTTCCCTAGATTGAGAGCACGGACTTACTGCAGTGCAAAAGTATCCACAGCCAGGGCAACACTGGTGTTTCACCATCCTCCCTCTATGGTCCTCACACAGCACCAAAAGCTGGACTTTGTTAGACGGGCGCATCAGTTCATACTTAACCACACTGTTTGTGCATCGGCCCAGCTGGAACAGGAGAAATTAAAGGAAATGAAATTACTGGAGACCAAAACACTCTCTGTGCTTGTGCGGAGGAAGATTTTGCACACTGCCTTGATGAGCCCTGGCTTTTTCACAGTAATTCAGATGTGTGCCAGATAGCATTAGCAGTGCAGCAGGAAGCTGTGAAAGCTGCTCTCACAGGAAGAAATGCATCATTTGCTAACTAACATGCATGTGGACCGGAGTCATTTGTTCCTTGCAAGAAAAATCATAACTGGAAATACGCAACAGCCAAGCAGCCACAGAGGGGGCAGTCCCAGGGGCCTGACTCACAAAACACTCTCTGCTTTTGCCAGGAAGAGCGGGTGTCAGTGACCAAGAGAACAAGACCGTACGCACTAAATCTTGTTACTGTTCAAAAGTACAAGTCACAGGAAGATAAAGTGAAAAATAATTGCTCTTGGTTGCCAGCTATGTTATCGTCTGTACTGCTTCCAGCACTGGCCCCCGCCCAGACCACAGGGATGAATAGCCAGTCGTTTACGAGAGCTCAACTCCAGTCAGATTTTCAGCATGCTTTCTGAAACATTTCACCAGTGTGTAATTTTGGGCTTAAGAGCTGTCTTCTCTCACACCACCTTGTTGTGTTAGTGACAGCAGGCTCCGTGAGCAGGGCTTTTCCCAGCAGTGTCTGTCCCTCTGCTGTGCCAGAAGGACTGGGGCTTCCTTCTGCCACCCTTGTGCATACACCTATGAGCCTCCTCCACATCCTGGTTGCCACCTGCCAGCGCGGTGCAACATCGTTTGGGTTCTCATAACTCCCTCCAGATGAAAACCTTGCTTTCCCCAAACGCTTGGCAAAGGACATTTCCAGCACAGAAACATAAACATGAGAAGTTCATAGGAGGAAACAGCCCTACCAGAATCTGAGCGTGGTGCACTGCACTCTGCCTCCATGATCAGAGCAGTCCGTAAGGAACACAGTGTCTGTTCATCACTAGCAGGCTGCCCCTCCTGCTCTAGCTGAGGTTTGATTCACTGCTTTTTCTCAGCAAAACTAAACTCCCTCTCTGATTTATTTTAAACTCCATTTCTCCTACAACCAACACACCTACAGGAAAAAAAAAAAAAGAACAGTTTTTAACCTGAGCTCTTCTCCCTTAGCATCTCTGACCCAGCTTACCCAAATTCCAGCTGCAAATCCTACCTGTGATTGCGACACCTTGCCTAGAGTGATCACTGCTAGCACACAGATCCGAGGGGCTGCAGGAAAGGACCAGTCCATTGATTTTTATTTAGGAGTGGAGGAAATTTGATTAAGGCATGAGAAGCTGCACTGCCTGTATAAGGAAGTCCCTGCATCATTCTGTCACGACATATTATTTGTTAGAAAAGTCTAAAATAGTACAAAATGATTAATTGCTATTTTCCAGCCATTAGAGAGTGTAGCACGGTGCTCCTAACTACAGCATTATCCAAGGACATGACAGCCTAGAGAACCCACTATTCATACATGTAATATCCTTACCACATCTATGAGTCACTTACCCATTGCCAAAAAGAATCTAACAGAATGCATGGCCTTTGCTATTCCTTTCTCTGATTTATCTGGGCAGAGAACTGTCAGACAATCATAGGAACTCTTCTGTATACGTTTTGTTATTCAGAAACCCTGGAGAACCCTCTCTCCTGTAAGTTTCCAGGGCATTCTCTCCTTAACGCATCAACTTCGTCATGCTAGTGAAATTCCTTTCTCTATAAGTACCTACTAACAGAAGTAGAGCTGGGCTGTAAATGTGATTACCCCTTCCTCCCTCCATCCACCTTTCTACTGGGATCCTCCAGAAGAACCAGGAGTACTCCGACTCCTTGTCCTTCTACTAGTAAATATCAGAGCACTGCAGCATGGCTGCAGCTCAGCTGAAGCACCACAGAAATGTCAGTTTCTTCCAGAGCAAGAAGCATCTCCTGAGTTTGCTTCTGTCTTCCCTTCCAGACTCTGAGAGGAAGTCACTTTTGCCACTTAATTCCGCCTTCTCGGAACCAGCAGAGCCCAGCTAGCCCAGCTGTGATCAGTTTAGAGGCATCGAGTGCAATGTTTCCAGCCAGCCAGACACAGAGGCTGCGCAGGACTGCCAGGACATAGGAAGCTTTGTAACAGAAGCCTCTTGGGGGGAGGAGAAAAGTGGAGGGCCAGAAGAGACTGAGCTGGCGGAAGGCATGCCAAGTTCCAGAAATTCAAGAGCTGGCTATGGAAAGGTTTGCATCAGCTCCTTTGTAGTCAAGGGAACCAGCTCCAAGCTTCCCCTGATTGGATTCTCTCACTTTGATGCATGCTAATGTATTTTAGCCCACTTGGCCCGAAGCGTTGCCTGTTACATCCAGTTGATCCAGCTACACAAGCCAGGACAAGCAGGAGATCCACCCAGTGCCTCTCCAGCTAGCCCTGCAGGCTGCTCCTACTCACTTTGGAGTGGCTTTAACCCGAGTGTGCGACACATGCAGTGTGCTGGAGGAGCTGTTGGCCCCACCATGCCCACACGAGTGGGCTCCCAATCTAGCATGTTGCAGAGCATCTGAGTGATGTAATGCATGCTCCTGGCACGGCTTTGTCTCTTTATGTCTTTGTCCTCAGGAAAAAAAGTCTGCGAGAAGCTGAAAGACAGGTTCCTACCTCATTATCCACACTCTCGGTGGCCATGCACTGGTTGTTGGCTAGCGTGGTGATCTCTCTGCTTTTGGGAGTTTCCATTCGACAGCTACAGAGGGGAACTTCCTGGAGACCGTCTACTTCCATTGCTTCAGGACCATTGGAAAGACCTAGAGTACAGAAGATCAGCAAATCAACTCTGATGTTACCCTCTGGGAGAAGGGATGCAGTCCATCAACACTGTCCATGTCTCATGGCATCTTCCAGTTCCACATCCTGAAATGCTTCAAAGGCATCACTTAAACCCCACAGAGACCCACTTCTTGCAGCAGATGGAGTTTGCAAAAGCACACTGTACTTTTCTGAGTCCAGTGACACTACAGGTGCTGTATTCAAGAATACTGAGTTAAAAACAGCTTATCCTGAGAAAACCCCAACGTGGAAAAACTATAAGATACAGATTTCTATCAGTCTCTCTTTCTCACCTGTCCCACAACACTGCACTCTGGCACCAGGAAATCTGTGGGTAACAAACTAGAGTTGGGAATTTGAGTAGTAAGGGGAGTGTTAAATAGAGAAGATCAGGGAAGCATAAACTGCTATTTGCAGAAGCTTACTACACAAATGGGGAAAACAAAATTCCTGGGACTATTTGGTCTCACACAACCAAAATCTATCCATCTATCTATCTATCTATCTATTTTTTTTTGAAAGCGAACAAACCAGAGAAAAGAAAGCAGCAAGATGTTCAGATTTGCTTGCCTTCTCATCTCTTTCTCTCAGATATTTAACACTCCCAAGCCTTTTTAAAGGTGGATAATGGCTTTTAGGTGATCACGCAGCCAGGAATGGGGGAACACTGAATATTCTTGGGGCTCCTCTGGGTTCAACTCATTTATTAGGTTACGTGTGACCACGAGACACTGACCCAATGACACAGGGATTACTTTTTGTCCTTCACACCTACCTTAGTCCTACAGAGCTGTAACATCTTTTGCAAGGTTTTAAACCCTCAAACATTACCCGCAGTTCACCCTGCAGTGTCCCAAGCTTTTCCTGCACAAGCCTGCTATGGGTTGGAGTCCCAGTGAGAAGGAATTAATTGTGCTGCTGTTTTAGAAGCTTTTGAAAGATGAATTATTTTGCTGCAGAATTTCAAAGACTAACTTCATTCTTCAGAGAGATTCCTCTGTAGCTGCCCTGGCAAAAGCACTCTCCCTTATGGCTGCGACCCTACAAGCTGAGCAGAAGCTCTTTTCATCTTGCAAGGAGTTTCCATTGGCTAAGTTGCAAGACCAAGCCCTGAGAAAGGATGAGACGTTTCAAGACACAAGCAGAAGGAAAGCCCTTGCAATTGTCATGTAGAATCCTGCCCAGATATTAAATGTTTAAGTGCTTTATCTAGGACCACAAATCAAAAAGCTCATTCCTCACCTTCCAAGCTGTCACTTTCATAATCTTTTTTGACATCCAGAGGCTCTGATGAAAACATCCCTCATCCATCCTGACCCTCCCTTGGTGGTAAACACTCCCACCCGCTCTTTGATGTGCTCCTATCAAAGAGCCACACCACTTCTGAAGGCAGAAGAGCAACGGGGGAGAACCGTCAGATCCACACCAGAGCCAAGGATCAGCACTGGGAACGGCGGCCACTCAGACACCCCTACCATCCACCATCCTCACTGGCCACCAAAGCCAGACCCCTGCAAGCTCCTGAGGAGACGAGGGCACCAGTGTGCAGGGCGATGATTCACTCAGAGGCCACACATACATCGCCCAAAGCCGGGGGAGTGGGACAGACAGATGGATGCATCCCACTCAGCAGTGTTCCCAAATCGCTCAGCCCCCCCTCACGTCTTCGGCCCCCGGCTTCTGCCAGCCTTGCAGGAAGCCTCTCAGCAGGGCCAGGCCTGGGCTCGGGGCTCTGGCAGCCACCAGGGGGCACGCGGGGCTCCGCTCGCTGCTTGGGCTGAGCGAACAAAGCCAACGTGGGTCATGGCCGCGCCGAGCCAGCACTCACCTTCCGCCTGCGAGGAGAGGATTCCCTTCACCCGCAGATCCAAGGAATCCAGAGACACCTCCATGTACTCCATGCTGTTATCCTGGGCAGAGCCCTCTCTGCCTCCCAACGATGATTTATAGGCTTCAGCACCTAGATTCAAACACACGTATATTTACACAGCTGAAAAAAAAAAAAAGAAAAAGTGCGTGCATGTGTAAAGGCCATATTTAACCAAGATGGCTGCATGCAGGCTCCTCAGAGAGCCTATGAGTACAGATGCACACAGAATTATGGAAATGTAACAGCTGGGCAGATATGGCACAATTGATCTCCCATCTCTTATTTCCACCCCTGTCTGATCCGACAGATTTTCCACTTCTACGGAGGTAGGTTAACAAAAAAAAAAAAAAAAAAAAAGGGATAAATGAGACAAATAAGTTCTGCATCCAGAAGGCACATCTCTGCCTGCTGTAGGGCAGCAGAAGCTCAAATGGCATAAGGAAGGGCTGAAACCAGGGCTCGGAGCATTCCCCCATCTCCAACCTGCTGCAAAGGGCTCCAGGTACAGCCCGGCCAGGCAAAGCAAACCAGCTGCTGATGCAGGTTCTGGAGAGGACGAGACAGGTGACATTCAGCTGAATGGGAGGGGAAAACATAAAAGCCAAGTTCTGGCTCTGAGAGAACAAAGCTGCTGCTGGGAAGGGATTGCATGGGGGATTCCTCGGAGCCTTCGTGGGAATTGTCATCTCTTCACATTCCCTTGGCTTTGACTCTCAATCCTGGTTTGCTTCTCCCACTCAGGCTTGGCCAAGAGACTTGTGTTAGCCTGAAAGACTGGCTGCCACCTTTATGTAAGGGGTAGAAAAACAGCCTGCATCTCAAATGAAGAATTAGCTATTTGCTCTGAAAGGGATCAGTGGTCCCCATTTCCTTTTAGAAGAGTTTGCCTTGGGAAGAACAAAATGAGAGGGCAGCCCAGGGGCTGCAACGTGGTCATTCAGAAAATAGGCAGCAACAACTGCTGATAAAAAACGGCCTGTTTAGAAGGAATTAGCAAACAGAATAAACTCTTTGATGGCAATGGATGTGTGAAGCCTTAATAAAGAGAAGGCACACCTTCACAGACTACCAACTCTTTTTTTCTTTTAAACTCATCCTGTTACTTTTCCTGAAGATGAGGAATCAGATCCAGCCTGCACCTCCTCCATCCTCAGCCCACAGCTTTCTGGGGACAAAATGAACTGTAACCTTTGAGTGCTGTGTAACTTCACTCAAACTAGAATGGCCACCTGAACTCAGGCCCAGGAATGGGCTGCGCTGCTTTGGAATAGCAAGGACAGCCAGCACATTGCATTCAGCAGGACTAACACCCACACAAAAGCAATTGAGCATCACTCCGGGATGGTTATTCCTTTCCCTTCTCCATCTAGCCAATCTCCTTCAGTTACAGTTTACATCCATGAAGTCGTCTTTGGATGTTCCAAAAAAAAGAGAGCTTGTGAACAATAATCATTACTTCAGCATGCCCAGGATAAAGCTGTCTCATGCTTAGTTTGCTGTTAAAGTGCAGACACAAGCTGTAAGTAAGATGCCAGTTCAGGCTCTGGTTAACCATAGAGGTAAATCTGACCATAAAGGTAAACCTTCCCTTCAAAAGGAAGAAAGAACTCTGCAGACAACCACTGCCTCATGGGCCGGAGGTCCTTACCCTACCTGGCAGACCATTTTCTGTGCAGTTAAAGAACAAAACTCAGTTAGTTACCTAGCACATTGGCTTGTTTCTTTTTATTCCTCCGTCTCCTCTTGCGGGTGGGTTTCAGCCATGGGCTGTCTGTCTTTCCTTTCCTCTTCAGCAGCTTCTTCTTAATGCTGGACTCCGAGCTCTGAACAACCAGAGAGGCCATGTGCATGTAAGGCATGTTGGTATCAGCATCACAGCAGTCCTTTGCACTCATATGAAAGAGCCTTCACACAGCTTGAGAAGTGTAAAAAGGCCTTAAGGACTGAGGTTTGAAATCAATTGGTGCAGAACTGCCTTTACAGTGCAGAAAAGGAAACACCAGCACACGTGTGGGCGTATTTCCTGTCACCTCAGAAGTGCTCACTTTACCTTCTCTTCCATGTAGGCTCTAACACCACACTCATCTCAGGAGTAGCTGAGCATCTCTGCACAGCAGGCTGAGTATGCGTGCATGCTTTTAGCTTCTCCCCAGAAAAGTGACCTTTATTTCTTTTTTTCAAACTCAAATATTCACATTGCTCCACAGTCATGCTAGAAAAAAATATCTCTTGTACCTGAAGAGCCCGGGCTGGGATGGACCCTGGAGAATTTAACTGCACAGCAGAGACCAGCTCCCTCCCTGAGCAAGGTGTCAGCACAACCTAATCACACAGCAATCTTCAGGCATGTATGAATCTAAACAGAGTTTAGGTTTCCTTTCTGTTTAATATACAGAAAATAAGGTGACTTTTCAAAGTCAACTTTAAAATGGGCAACCAGAAACTCCAACCCAGCGTTACAAAGCTCCAAACATAAAATTCATGTTCTAACATGAACTCACTCCATCTCTCACTGAAGCCTACAAAAAAAGCTCCTGCTGCCTTCAACAGAGGCTGGATCAAGGCCTACCTTCGTGGCCTACCTTAACAGGAAACTGATGCTGCACCATGCCCTCTTAACACAGTGTGCAGCAGGATCGAGGTGGCGCTGAGCCCTGGCTCCCCAGGCAGCTCTGCAGTGGTGTCTGCACTGGCCCAACAATCACTGTGCCCAAGTGTAAGGCTGTGCCTCGCCACGTGGCTTCCACCAGTTGCATCACTGCTGGTGGGTGAGAGGTTTGCATCTGAGCCAGTCTCCATCTGGGCTGCAGGCTGAGTCACCACATATAAGCATAGCAAAAATCACAGTCTGGGACGTCTAGATATGACTGGGCTGTTTGGACTTGACTGCAAGCTCTACCCTTAGTTTGATTTAGCACTACAAAAGTGCCTCAAGCTGCCCAGTGAAAGGCACAGGCTATACAGCCCCTTCTGGCTAGTCCTCTCTGGCTCTTGTAGTGTCAGAGAACAAGGAATGAGATTCTACAGAGCTTCAACAATTCATTTGGTACAGTTGCTTCTACCTTCAGCTCAAAACATCGAGACAATGAAGTCAAGAATTTTCTCAAGGTGACTGAAGAATTGGGGTGCTTTAAATGCTGGCTCCTCAACTTGAGATGCTGTGAAAAGGGAGCAACATTTTAAAGTAAAGGGGAGGGTGGGGAGACACAGACAATCAATGAATAGCAATTTTAAAAAAATTATAATAATTTTCAAGTTCCCTCCACCAGCCATCTGAAAAAGAAGAAGTCAAAATCACCAAACAGCTGGTGAAAATCTTGCCTTAGGACTACCAGACACTCCTAGGGAGAGTGACTCTGTATGCTGTTTGTACATATGCCTGACAAGGGCTGCCCGTGCCTCTGAGGTGGCATGTAAGACAAGGTGAATTTAGGCAGTGGGTTGGCCCAGTGGATTTGTGAACATCTCCACCTGGACTCGCTCTGGAGGCAAGCTGAGCTTCAGGTTGTTAAGAAAACACTGCTTGCTCCCACCACTTGCCAAATCAGCACCCAACGAATTTAAGCACCCTTAAATATTTCCACTACCATTCAAATGATTAAAAGCAGTCAATACCTTGTTGAAAACAAGAAAAATAGCCCATTAATTAGTGCTGGAAAGTAATTAAGTGTATCGCTGCTATGCACCTTGTGGAAAACAATACTCTGTGTGCATGGATTCAGCCACTGAGTTTTGTCAGAGTCCCAAAACTACACTGCTAGTCTCCTTCTGGCAGCAAAGCAAAGGGGAAATCATTACCAGCAGAACAATGGTTGAAAGCTGCATTTAGCAGCTAGGCTTACCAAGTCAGATTCATCTCCATCCTCCTCATCCTCTCCAGACTCTGCAGACTCTTGATCCTCCTCAGAGTCGCCATCATCAATCTGCAGCCACCATGTGCCCCAGAACAGAAAGAGTCAGTCCTGTCAGGTCCCTCCAAGCACGGCACCCCTCCACACCCTGCCTGAGCATCCCATCACCGTGCTGCACTCAGCCCCAGCCATGTGAGCACTAACACCATCTCCTCTCCAGGACAAGCACTCCAAGGCTGTTAACGCACTTGATGGTTCACCCATGAGGATGGGACAGGATAACACCCAAAGAAAGTTTTCCAAACAAACGTTAATTTTTGTGGTTAATAAGAAACATCCTCATACCTACAATACACGTTGTGATTTGGGGTAAGTTAACTAAAACAATCTGAATCTAGTTACAGGCTGGTAAAGAATTAGGAAGACATCTCCTGCTGGTGCAGTGAATGCCTAACTGTGATGGAAGTCCTGCACATACACTGGATCACAGAGAGTTATGTAGCAAGGCTACAACAGGAGGGTAGGCGAGGAGACTCTCGTGGGGGAGGGGAAAAGGAAGCAGGAAGTGGTCATCAAAAGCCTCACTTCCACCACTGAGCTTTCTGCCATCTTGCATGCTAAAAAATGCCTAGAAATTGCCTCAACTGATTCCACTCCTGTCTGACAGGGATCAGCAGTGTCCCATCCCACTCTAAGTCCTGCACGGGGCATGTGAATACCTTTCTGACATTGTCTGCGTCAGACGCGCTGTCTTTAGAGGTCCTGTTATCGTCTGCAGGAAATGCAGCTGCCTGTTCTGCTCCGTGATCGTCCTCATCTTCCAACTCATCAGAGTCTTCCTCTTCAGAGTCTACATCTATGCTCTCCCCATTCACGTGAGGGCTGACATCACCTAGCTCCTTTTCACTCTGGAAGTTGTCCAAGCACACGTGCCACAAAGACAACATCAGTTCACAGCTCAGAGCAGCTGAACCCCTCCCAGACCGCCTGTGTTAAAGCTGCCGAGGGAGAGCCAGCTGTATGCCCCTCCAGAGCCCTCCAACACCGCCAGCACAGGCAGTGCAGGTGCCTGCCATGCGCCACCTAACCCTGCCAGTCTGGGGAACAAGGAGTCATTCTGGACTCAAGGCACTGAGGGGAGGGCTGCTGGACAGCAGCTTTCAGCCAGACCATGCAGACTAACCGAAAGGGCATCTCCCCATGGAAAACCAAGGATGCAAAGGAGGTTTCTAAATAAAGGGAAGTTAAATCAGGCTGGGGGATTTTTACTCCACTCCACTGATGCCTAGCGCTTTGAATTCACTTGAATTCAAAGGCCAAAACTTAAGGGCCAGGACTGCAGCAAAAGCAGAACCTGATCAGGAGGGAAACCCAGCCTGCAGTTTGTTTTTAAGTCACTGGTTGTTTTCCCTTACAGCCTCAAACGACACTAGACAGTAACCCTAAGGACTCCACAACAAAAACGTTACCACGCTGTGGTATGCTTTTAAACTCTCCAGTCCCACAGCACTCACAGGACAGAAGGGGAACATCCACTGGAAAACGTTGCAAGAGCTGCTATCAGAACATCCACCCTCAAAAAGCCATTTTCAAAGCAGCAAGGCTGCCGTGGGCAGGATGTTGTTGCCAGAGAGAAGATGTAGACTCAGAACAGAAGATGCTGACAGCAACAATGTTCCTACTCTACCCATGGGGCTGGTGTGGCAGGACAAGGTGTGTGCATGGTGACAGCAAACATGCCCGGCCGACTCGGTGCAGCCCTCACCTTGGCACCCGCAGAGGAATGAGTTATGCTCTTAAACATCTCAATCATTGTTCTCTGTTTTAACACTTTGGTCTTTTTCTTGGGAACCAGGCTATAGGTTCCCATTCTCCGTTTTTTCTTTCGAGATACTGCAGCAGCTGGAAAAAAAAATAAATAAGTAAAGCCAAAGTTGGTTCAGGAATGAAAAGAAAGGAGTGAGAGTAGAGGCTGTAATGCGGGAAACCGTATTGAAGGACGTGATCTGAGAAAAAAGGCTTCCCATTCCAACTAATTTATTTACAGTTCAGCCAAAAGGTGACACATGCATACGTGCAAACACACAAAGAGCTTTTTGCCAATGCTGCAAAAATCGCCCAAATTCTGAGTACCTCCTCTATGTTTCCTCTGGTCCCTGTATCACCATACATAGCATCAAATCCTTACGTTAGCCTGTGTTTGGCAGCACTGCTAATGCCACAGGAGGCTGAATAGAATCCAGCTTGCTCAAACAGATACTGCAAGGTTAATAATACCGACTTACAATAAAGCCATCATATAATAACTAAAGAACAAACAGAGAAAAGGTACTTTAAATAAGGAGCTGTTTGCCATTTAACCTCATTTCACACCTGCTACGGAAGCTTGCTTGATTCCTTTCACCGCTTTGATTGGGTCTCAACTTGCTGAGTCTCCCTCCTGGCATTCTAATCAAACCAGTCCTCACACCTCAATGCCTGCTGCTGCCTTTGGTGCACACACATCAGAAGTGTGCTTAGTGCAGGCTTTTAACAACAGCATGCAGCAGGAAACAGCCAGCTCCAGCACCAGCAGCTGTAGAGGCTGCTCCTTGAAAGCATCTCTTCACGTCTCGCTATGACAAAGTTCCATCAAAAATCTAGAAAGAGCCCCCTCAAAAACTTTCTGCCAAGCCAAATCATTTTATTTACACAAGTGTGGCTCACAGTAAGCAGCATCTGTCAAAACAAGATCTACTGCAACAGCCCTACTGATGCTGCCAGGCAAGGAAATCCTAAAGCAGATTCCGCTGCACTTAGATTGGGGCAACCCCAGATGTGAGTATGGACTGGGAGAAGAACTCACTGAGAGCAGCAGGGAGAAGGACCTGGGGGTCCTGGCAGACAAAAAACTGGACGTGAGCAGCAGTGCATGCTTGCAGCCTGGAAGGCTGACTGCAACCTGAGCTGCACCAACAGAGGGAAGGCTTTAAGATCCCTTCCAACCCAACCATGCTGTGATACTACAATTATGAAAAATGAGTAACAAAAGGCTCAGTCCTTACCAAGCTGCCTCAGCCCGTGGACCCTGACACACACGTACGTTTGGGAGCTGGGTACTGCTAAGGATTTTAGCTCTGTCCTCTTACCCGTCTGCGACTTGGAGGTGGCCACATAGCTCTGGTTCTGAGGTAGTGACTGGTGAAGGCCCGGGAGAGAGGGCAACGGCAACGGCTTCCCAAATTCCAGGATGTTTTTGTTGCCTTCCTCTTTAGATTCTTTTTGATCTCTGCTTTCTCTCCCATCTTTGGGGTCTTTACTTGCATGCTGGAAAACAAAGTGAAGTTAAATTGAGCCTCTGAATTCAAAGAAATCACTGAAATAAATTTAATTCCTTTCTGCCAAATAGAATCACTTGCATGTGAAGGTAGGAACAGATGCTCAAAGGAAAAGCACTCTGCCCCTTCTTTATTAGCAAACAACGTTTCCTTGCCTAAAGACTACAAACAGACCCAGCCTGCTGCTGGTCACTTGGTGAGGGCTGCTCCCCGAGAAGGAGAAAACCTGCACACAGAGCAGGCATGGCAAAGCTCTGCAAAGTAAGTGCAGATATTGAAAAGCATTAGGTTGGCTCTCAAGAAGATGAACAAAGATGAACAAATGCACCTATTCATTGAAACACATCCGGACTGAAGCTGTCACCTCCCAGCAGACAAGGAACAGAGCCTTGCACAGAGGACTCCGAGGGGTGGGCAGCAGTGGGAAGGGATCCTTCCTTCTGGCCTCATAAGGACTCAGCAAAGCTTGTGCTCTCCCACCTGCTTGCCCAGCTCACAGCCAAGAAGGTATTTGCCTGAAACTGCAGGTTCACCTCCAGCACTGCCAGGTCCTAGCAAGATGTGGCAAAGCTCGCTCTAGCTCGGGTGATAAACCCCTACTGAAAAGCTGATAAGGCTCAAGAGAATTTTACAGTCACTTTGGTGCTCTGTGCCTGCAGACAGGCTCCCAGACTCCAACACAGCTTACACACGCTCTGATGTGAGCACACCTCACCCTGCACCTTCAGTCATGCTGCGACTGCTGCAGCTACATGCGCACGGCTGTGCTGTCACAGCAGAGATTGGGCAAATGGTACCACTCCAATCTGCCATTTGACACTGGGTGTGCTGTCTTCTGTGCTTAAAAGAAGGCCTAGCCCCATCCATGCCTCTCCATACACCTGTCCATTGACTGGCAAGCAGGTTTGGAAGAGATGCTCCAGAAATCCAAGAGCACTGGTGCTGGATTACAAGCTCTGCGGTGGCGATGTGCTGCTCCACCACTTCTTATGGGATGTTTGAAGCAACAGCTGAAATACCAGAACTGAAAAAGGAATGCAGGCAAAAGGGAGGAATTAGAAAAGCAGCAAAAAATCAAGATAGTCTCTGGGTTCACATGGGCTCTGTTAGATGCTGCTTTCAAGTGATCTGTGACCTTGTGAACAAACGGGGAAGCGACTGATTCTCCTCATTACAGCTCTGCCATGTGCACATTGCTGGCAGAAAGCAAGGGGTTGGTCACAGCCAGAAAAGCCATAATGATAATCCAAAATGACCTGCATAAAGAGGTCAGCACATTTCCAATGATTCCCACATCAAGCCCATATCTTCTGGCTGAATTAGCACCTCTCTTCCTACAAGGCATCGAGTCGTGGATTAATGATGTCAAAGATGACAAATCTACCATACCCTTTGATATGTTGTTCCAATGCTTAATTGCTCTCACTGTCAGATAATTAAATGCATTAAGCTTTTCCCACTAAACTAAAAAGCCCTGTATCATCAGAAACTCTCCTTCCTGTACTTACAGACTGCTTAAGTAAAAGTTTTAAAAACTTTCTCTTCGATAAGCTGAATAGAATGAGCAAATTCAGTGTCCGTAGGATCATCTTCTGGACATGGATCACTCCTGAGTCTGCTCCAGTTGTTCTCCCACTTAGAACAAGTACGTCAGGAGTGCTGGGCACAGCATGCCAATAATAGCCTCAACAATACTATTTATACCTCTTCATAGTTTACAGACATAAAGGTTAACTCTCGGATACAGGATTATTCTGAGAGTTCCCAGGTCTCCTGGGACATCCACTGCTTTCCGGATTTAACTCAAAATTAGGAGGATGAACAGGAGGAGCAGATCTGACTGCAGCTAAACAAGTGTACATAAATAAGGGCTTTGTCCTTTACATGCAGGTTCTTGCAAGTGGTCTCAGATAAAGTTTGCTGTTATGTGGAGCCATATGGAGCAATACTAAGGAACAAGAATTTCTGCAGAGACATAACCAGATTTCCCAGGAAGCCTAATGGCATTCAAGGAGGCATTCAAGGCCAGGCTGGATGTGGCTCTGGGCAGCCTGGTCTGGTTGCTGGCGACCCTGCACACAGCAGGGGGGTTGAAACTAGATGATCACTGTTGTCCTTTTCAACCCAGGCCATTCTATGATTCTGTGCTAATGGCACAGAAAGCTGAACAGGCCATCAGCAAAACATATTACATACAAGAAGTTTCATGTCTATAGAAATCAAATGTTAAATCTGAGGATTGGGGCTAAAAATATCAGCAGAGATCTGGAAGCATTTCTCTGCTTTCCCACCATCCTTCTTTATTCCCCATGAGCTGAAACCGTTACATCTTTGCTGTTCTCATTAGATTTTAACCTTCCATCAACAGTGCTACGAGTCCTTAGTGGATCCAACTTTATTCTTTTCTTGTTTCTAAGGTCTCTGAATTCTGTTGGTTCCTCTGCCCCAGTCTGTAGGTTGGTCCCTCTTGGTCCCTCACACTGAGCTCCTGCACTGCTCTGCTCCATCGGTTCCAGATTTAAGCACTCCCAGAAAAGAGGTTTTGCTAATCTGGCTCACTGCTCTGCTGGGAAATCTCTTCTTCCTTCAAATCCCATCAGGCTGGTGAAGAGCTGGCTCAGGCACATGCACAGATGTCCCACAGTCCTCATCCCCAGGTTACATCCAACTGGCCCCTCCCAGCAGAGGACAGCAGGCAGCTGCAACTAAAAGGGGAAGGCAAAAGGAGGACCGAGCATTTGGGACTGGGAAGACGGATACAGAGCTCTTGGGAGCACTACAGACTCCTATCAAAGCAAAACAGAAACAAAATATTACAGAACAATAAAGCTCACAGGTGTGCCTGCAAGCCCCCAGCACAACCAGAGGGCATCTCCAAATGCAAAACGCCAGCAAGTTTAGTGCTGGAGAGAAAGCTGTCAAAGGCAAATGGCGGACAGAGGGTTTCCCTGCAGAACACAGGTCCTGGCAGCCACTGCTCTGCCTTGCTCTGTATGAGCCCGGAGCTGGCACGACCCAGTACCACCTCCACGGTCTGCTACCTGATCACATCTGACTGCATTTAGTGCTTCTGTCACCTGCTGCTGCTTTCCACTTTCATGATGGATGGGTTCCCCTCACCCTCCCTGCTCCTTATGCAAGCAGGCCTCAAGATAATTCCTGCAGCCCAGCAGTCACCCAAGCCAACTCCTGACTCTTGCCTTCCAGCTCCCTTGCCCTTCCCCAAGTGGGCAGAGGTGAGAGGCTTATAGTGTACAAGGGGGCTGCCAACAGCAGGCACCACAATAAACCCCACAGAGCTCATCACCAATTCGCTGTGACAAATTCTATCACATTCCTGCTTCGATTCCTGAAGATCCAGGCTCCTCCTATTCATGTCTCTCTGCTTTGGGTGGAAAATGCAACACTGCAGCTTGCACCAGAAGCAACCATGCCAGGAAGGCAACGCCTGGCTTTCCAGGAGGTGACCTGCTGAGATCCCCACCACGGGTGCCACACTTCCACAAGCAGTTTCAGCTAAATAAACTGCTGCACTCAGAAACTGCATCATCTGCTTTCACTTAAACCAAATAATACAAGGGAACGGGAGTGCCTTCATGTAACACCTACATGGGCTCCACTGCAAACATCAACATTCCAGGCAAGATGCTTGATTACTGACACTAAATTTACCCCACTGCTCTGCCTGATACACCTGGGGTGTTTTGCTTTTTTTTCCCCCAATCATACATAGGTTTTTAACAGTCCAACAAGTTCTGTTTTCAGCTGCATGTCACAGTCTAGAGGACAGTGAGGAGAACCCCATGCAAAGACAGCTCCAGGCCAGTTTGAGCTCTGTGGTCCCAAGTGGCCTGAGCCACCATCAACCAAAAAACAATCAAAAATGATCACAGACAAACTGCATTACTAATGGCTTTGGTTCTGCAGCTTCTCACGTGGCGTCAGCCAATGCTATATGACAGGTTGTGAAGTTCCTGCCTTGTGCTGGGCATTGCAAGGAATGGGCAAGAAACCAAAAGCATCCACTGAAAGGCTTAGGGCAGTGTCCAGAGACATCTGTGCATGGGAATGGAAAAAACTGAATCACAAACACGTTCAGGGCATTCATGCTCCTTAGATTGGCACAAGACAACATCATTTTATGTGTTTAAGAAAATCATATCCACGTACTTACTACACTGTAATGGGATCAACCCTGTTTCTATTACTGGCACAGAAATCCCCTACAGCAGCAGGGAGAAGTTACTAAAAATGGCAAAGACAGACTATCCCACTATTTTTTCCCAGAAGCAAAGATAAAGAACAAATAAACCTTACTAATTAAACGCCGTGTCGGTTCGGCAGACCGCGCAGCGTTCTTCCCACAGCCCCACAATTAAGAGCTCTTTCATTACCAAAGCAGATGAGCTGGCAAGAAGAGGAGTGATGCTGGAAGCACAGCCATGTGCTGAGCAAAGGCTCCAGCATGTGCTGCTTCCCAGCAGAGCTGCTGCTCGCACAGCACTCCCAGCTCCAGCTCGGCCATGTCAGCCATCTTCTCTTCCTTATTCTCAGAACTTTTATCTCCAGCACAGCATGAGCTTGCAAATGAAGCCCAATAGCTAGAGGAGTAACCAAACTGCTGCAGCAAGGCTGCCAGGGAGCAAGGCTGGTGTCCATCTGCAGCTGGCTGGGAGTGCTAACAGGGTGTGCACCTCTGGGCATGGCAAAATGTGGATGTGCCAGAGGCTCCAACACTTGGACAATGATACTTAAGCAAGAAATAGTGGTCTGCTATGAAAACCAGATCCCCAGCAGATCTCGCTGCCTGCATGAGCCACGGCAGAGCAGCTCTCCATCACTTCTGCTGTTGTTGCAGAATTACAGTTCAGTACAGAATCTCAAGCAGCTCCCTGGGGACCCTCACCACAGTCTTGGCGAGGCTGTGTGATGAGTCCAGCTCCACAAGTGACCCATCCAGCTGCTATCCATCCATCAGCAGGCCACCAGAAGCTTGGCCCTGCTTGGATGACTGCAACGGCACCAATGTGCGCGTGGTCACACACCCACCTCGAATGGAAGACATCCCATGCCAATGGCCTCTTCAGTCCTAAAGGAGGGTGCCCACACAGGACATTTGACCACGGCCAAGATGACACACACACAGACCTCACATTTCCAGACCACACGTGCATCTCTGAGCATCCCTCTGGAGAGGGTCTTCAAAGGGTGCCCCATGTAGGGTCAGAAGAGCCAACAGCAGCTCTCCAAATCAGATGGAAAGCTCTTTCACTTTTCTTTTGATGATTTTTTCCATCCAGGAGACAACTCCCCCATCACTACTCCCATTAGAATTTGCCCTTTGAGGGGTTTTTTTTGCATATCACAGGGTTTCATCTCGCTGAACGGCCCCAGACTGTTGCAAACCACCAACAGCCACCAGCCTGGCCCTGAGAAGTGGTGAGGCCATGAGGAGCTCCTGCAGTGCAGCCCACATCACTGCTGGGCACTGACACAGAACATCATGTTTTACAGCAACAGCAACACCTGTCTGCACACAGCAGTTCTCAGTGCTGGGACCAGGCATTCAGCAGCAGACAGCAGAAATAAATACCAGTATAAGTGAAGGAGTTCTGTTCTCTTCATTGCTCCTCCTTCCCACCCAGGCTTTATCCCTTCCAGTTAAAGGATCCCATATTTTGGGCTCACGTTGTGAAACAGAATGAGATATTAATTCCCCTGTTTCCGCAGAGGGTTCAGTGCCTCTGACCTCATTTCTCCACACTGCACAAAACTGCCACCAGAAACACACAGCTCCAGTTGCAGCCTCGTGGTCACCACAGAATGACTGGAAACAACCTGGGAGTCCCAGCTCAGCCAGCTGCTGCTCCTGTCTTACAGGACAACTACGGGTCGCTTTCACCTCCAAGATCCTTCTTCCTTTCCAGACACATCTCAGAGAGTTTATACATAGAAATGGGAGTTTCTGAGCAGGAGGGGCTCTCAAAGCTCAACACACACACACAAAACTTCCCCTCTGGTCTGCTGTCTCACCCCTCAAACCTTTGTTTTCTCAACAGAGTTTTAAACAGATTAAGAAAGAATGGAAGAAATTCTTCCAAACGTGCCGAGTTTGTGCTACTGCACCAACAGAAGGGGAGCAAAACCAATGCTGTCAAAACTCTTCTGAGATCTCCGTTCAAAAACCAACTTAACATGCAACAATATCAATTAAAATTGTCACCTGTTTAAGATTCAGCTTCGATCCCAATTCAGGAAGCAATTCCTAAACAGAGAAAAAGCTGGTTACATATGTGAGAAAATCATTTCCTTCCTTTCAGGCACCAATATGCACGTACAGAAAAGGCTACTGAGGTCCCCTGACAACTGTAAGGTTGAAGAAAACAATTTTTTTGCCCCAGCAGGTTTCTGCAGGAGCTGAGGAATGAAAGTTAATGCAATGCAGGCAACAAAATACCTTCCTTCCCCGCTTCCTTCTCTTAGCAATGCGTGTAAGAGGATTCTACCAAGAGAAGAGCAATGCTCTGAAAAATTGATGATGAAAACCCATGCATCCAGTCACATCAAATTGTGGGTGATTTCTACAATTCCTAAAATACATCCATAGTGCTTTCAAAGGGGAAAAGGCACGACTGCATGTGCTGTGCTGAGGAGCCTCTCATAAGCTGCTCAACAAAGAAATAATCAGGACAGAAAAATGGCAAGTAGCAAAGACTTTGCTCCTCAAATGAAAACAGCATGTAAATTCGAAAGACAATGGGGAAAAATAGGTAGTAATTATCTGGAAGGCTGAACAAAACAGCTGCTTTATTGTCTTGCAGAAATGAGATCAAATCTTGGGGACCAGTGCGCTCGCATTCAGATGCAAAGCCCCTGAGCAGGAAATGTGTGAACAGCCTCTGCCTACCACCTCGTGAATTTCGTTCCTCTCACCATTTCCAACCCAAGGAAATGGGCTGCACTGCAGAGGAACAGTGGCCAAACAACTGCAGGCTTTACCTTTTGAATCCATTGCTGTTGCAAGAGTGAAGGGTGATCAGCAGTGCAATTACAACACTCCCATAACTTGGCAATGCAAACACTCCAACGTTGCAAGCAGCTTTCTAGAGACAAGCCCAAAAGCCCAAGGGGTTGTATAAAAAATCCTTCTGATGTATCATCAAATATGAATGATAAAAACACTCCTTCCTAACCTAGCAGTTGTTTTATAGAAGGGAATTGCCTCTTTCAATTGCTCAGCCCCACGGGGGTCTCTCCCTGTCAAATTCCACCAGGGTCGGGGTTTGCCCTGCCTAATTTAAGTGCACTGCAGGCTGCTGGAGGAAAGCTGCAAGGTTTCAGCTGCAAAGCCTTGTTTGGGTAAGAAAGCCTTCCATGAGCCTTCCATCAGGCTGCCTGTGCTGCATCTGGGCCTCCCCAGCTGCCAGCCAAAAAACTCAGCAGGGGGGCGAGAGCCAGAGAATTCAAATGCAATCAGGGGAAGGCAGAGGGGAAATTAGTGGTTTGGGAGAATGGCTGGGAAATTGTGGCCCCTGTGGTTTCTGCCCTGCTCTGCAGGCTGCACGCCACAAGGTTTGCAGGCTCCATGTGTTTGGACTCCCACCTGCTTCCGGAGTCACAGGTGCTGCAGCACCAAGGGCACCTTTCCCCATCTGTGGCTGGCTACGTGCCACCAATCATTTCTCTTTTTTTTTTCCCCCTTCCCCTGCTCGCAGCTTTGAGACCTTTACATCGTACTGTTGCCGTGCTGCAACATGTAGGTGACATCTGAGGATCATCTGGCATTTGCTTGTTCACAAAATGCTGGTAGCTAGCAGCAATCCACTACGCCAGCACTTACAGAGCTGCAGCAGCTTCCCATTTATTTCTGGGTGTCACTCACACTGCCAAGCAGGGCTTGCAGCAATCTGTGTACCTCAACCTGGGTACAGGATGGTCCCTCTCCATCGTTAGACGCAGCACGATGGAAGGATCTAGCTCATCAGAGCTAAATATAAAGTGTCACAGGGTTGGAGATCAAGTGCTCGTGGTGCAGATCTGACTGTGCCCAGTATCTAATTCCCCATCCTTGGTGAAAGAACCAAAACTTGGTCCATGTTTATGACAAACAAAGGCCCATTTCTGCTCACTCCCATTAGATGTTGGGGTCACAGGATGACTTCAAATCCCCCTTTAATTCCAGAACAAAAAATAGATCTCTCTTTTATTAAGTGATGGTAAATCCACACCCAAGGATTCTGTAAGAAAGATTTCTGAACAAGCTGCATTAGTGTAGGCAGCACGTACAGAGTAAGAAAGCATCATCCAGTTTAATGACACGGCAATGCAATCAAGTTGCCTAACTTATCAGCTTCTTGACAGCTTTCAAGCTTAGGAGAAGCCTCCAGTTAACACACTAAGCTTAATTTCCTTTGGGTCAAACTTATAAGAAATCTAATTTGTTTCATAAGCAGCTCTGGATTTCAACAGACAGCTGATGAGCAACACAGCCAGGAGAGAAAGGCCATTTAGTGTCTGATAGATCTGCCAGAGAAGGCAATTGATCAATTACATATTTAGAAACACATTGGGGAAGAGAGCTGACTGCAGCCACATGACTCTTTGAACACCTCTGTCTCTCTGTAAGAAGAGAAAAACATCAAAAAAGAAAAAAGAATTAAAATCAGCCTGCTTAGCGGGAGGTCACTGAAATATATCCATCCCTGTGCAACAAAGTTTCCCTCCCACACACCCAGAGAAAGCCAAGAGCAAGGTCTACTATACATTACCAGGCTAGGGGTGGGTTTAGGCATTGTCTTCCGTGCTCTGTGGACCTTGACTTCAGCATTAGCAGCAGTGGCTTTTTTAGCATCCATGTCCTTACTGCCCTCCCCGAGCTTGGTTGGCATCGTGGCTTGCATCTGAGAAAAGGTGCCCACAGTTCTCCCTTTGCTTGCTCCTCCTGGAAGGGTTTTTGCAGCATGGCCAGTGAGAGAAGCAAAGGTGCTGGTAGTCCTTAGAGGTTGCTCCTGCGCCATCTGCTTGGTTAGAATATATCCATTGCTCCCTGTTAGAGAAGTCTGTGTGAAGTCATTAGCTTTCATATGGTTTTGCTTCCCAGTCTCACCGTCTCGTTCAGAAATGCCATTTTCTGCTATCCTATTTAATTTAGTACTAGAGTCCTGCTGGCTCACTTTCGTGTTGTCCTGAGTGTTTTTCGCTGGGTTTGGGTGGCTCCCAGCCTCGCCGTGCTCACAGGAACCATTGGTTTCACCATCTACAGCCATTTTTGGTTCCCCCGCTTGCTTTTCTGTAGCACTTTCATCCGCAGCCATGGCATTGAACCCTGGAGAAAGAGGGAGGAGAAAGGGAAGGGAGGAGAAAGAAAAGGGTCACAGGCGTCATTAAAACACGCAGCGGCTAACAACCACGAAACGTCTCCCCCAAAGAAGCTCTCCCTACACATTTCCACTTGGGCTGCCAACACACCTACCTGACTGGCTTGGCCGGATCCTGGCATGGCAAAAAGTGGGGCAGCTCAGCTGAAAGCAGTGCACTCATTCTGACTCGCCTCAGCTGCAGATGCGGCCGTTTATTCCCCAACGATGGATATTTCAAGGTAAATATTATCTTTAGCTTTACCAATAACTACATTTATAGGACTGTATGTCAACATTCCCCATGTCAAACAAAACACTGCCCAATCCTGCACTCGGATCTCTAGCAGAGCTCTTCATGGTGCCATGGGCGAGCTGCTGTGGCACAGCCCGGAGCCTGCAGGTGGTAACCCTGCAAGGAATAAGCTCTGTAGGCAGCACTGCTCACTGAGGATCACTCTTCCAGCAGGAAGCAGCAGCACAGGAGCAGGATTGGCGATGTCATTTCAGAGGTAACAGCCAGAGTAAACACGAGGGTGAAGCAGGCTAAGTGCAATTCCAGACTAAAACAATGACATGGTTAAAGCACTGAGATCTCTGCAGACCTAAAGCTCGCTCACAGATAACACAGGAGCGTCCATGCAAAGACATTTTTTTCTCCTTTCCAAATACTTCCAAGCTCCCCTGCCAGTACTTTCATCCCACAGATATCTCAGACCTGAGCTGACAGAATCCAAGTATGAACACCGTGTACTTGCAGAAAGGTTCCCGACACGACAAACCAGCAGCTCCCCAGGCAACCAGGGCTGATAACAATTCACTGGCACATCCAGTAAAATGAGTAAATCAACCTGCTGTTAAGGATTCTGTGTATTGTTTTCCTTCCAGAGGCCAGACAGTTATGAAAAGCATCGTAAGTACCATCGAAAGTTCTGTCCAAGCAGACTGGAGGAGCAGGTAGGACTGATTTACAGCCAACTGAAGTTATTTTAGCCTACAGTAGAGCCCAGAATTCAAAGCAGAAAACAGCTGTGCAAGCCAGAGCAGTGTGCTGGTATCAGCACCTTGCTTCACACTGCTCATGGAGGCTGATGTCCTGCAGACCTCTGCTGAACTGGTGAAAACCTTCTGCAAAGCTCCAAGCCCAATGCCCACCTCCACTGGGTGCTGCCAGGCAGAGCTGGGGGGGCAGGGACACCATGCAGGCAGAAACATCAGAGCTCCCCAAACACCACTCAAAGCCAGCATCCCCCGTGCTGCTTCCCAGACCACTTTCTGTGTGCTGAAAGCTCCGACAAGGTGCACGTGGGTTGATTGGGGTTGAGAGGACTCATGACAGGGCAAACATACAATTGCTACTAGGTGAGACACCTTGGGCAGGGGGAGCAAAGCGCTGCGCACTGCGCTTTTTCAACCTTTATTTCTCTCATTCTTCACCAAGTGTCCTTAGAAGTGCCATTTAAAGGGTTCTTTCAGCAAACTCAGCACCAGAAGGAAAGCAAAGGTGGGTAGGCTGCAGCTGCAGGCTCTCAACGCTCAGCAGCAGGCACCTGGCAGGGTGAAGCCTACAGTATTTGTTGACTGCAGTGCTGTGCACGTCCACCAGCACAGCAAACAGCTCCTGTGGCTGAATATTAGATAAACCAAATCAACTGGGAGCAAGAATTGCTCCGCCTGCCAGGAAGGCGACCAAACCAAGGTAAATGAGAGCACTGCCCTAAGGGGAAGGTATGACTGCGTTGGCCCCAAAAGCATCACACTTGATGAACGATCCATGAGGTTGAAACAGATGTAATTCAACGTATGTTTACATTTTTGCTGAACAGGGGCCTGTAGAAAGCGATGGGAACACGATCCAGAGAGAGCGGGAGCCTCGCAGTGGGTAAATGCTCAATAAAAGCCTGCAGGAGCTCTTCAACAGCACCAGCTAAAGAAATGCTCATTCCTTACATTTCACCTTTTCTTTACTTTCCAAAAAAAGTTTCTGTATTGCAAACCTGTTGAAATCTTGACTAACAATAGGCCTCGTGACAGTGAGTTCCATGGGTCAGTCAGCAAGTTCCTCCTGAAAGCCCAGCTCAACGGGAGGCTTTTCTGCTCACCAGGGAATAAAAACCCAAAACTGATTATTTCTCTGAAACTTTACAACATTCATTCCTTCTAAACAGACCAAAACCACGCTTTGTCTGTATTCATTTCTCTCCCTCTTTGTCCTTTAACTCAAAAAAACTTCAAGATAAAAATATACAGCCTATTTCTACGGGTGTCTAACCTCAATTACCAGAAGCATCCTAGCATCTCCAGCATTGTCTTATGCATCCTCTATGTTACTTACAGCAGGAGAAGCCTGTCACATTGTTCACAATGCTGCCTGCAACCCGATCCAAGCACACACAACTAATTGTAAAGCAGCAACAGGAAACTCCTTACTTAGAGATGGTGAGGCCCTGGAACTGCTGCCCAGAGCTGCGGGTGCCACCCCTGGAGGTCCCTGTGCCCATGGATGGGTGCTGGGCAGCCTGAGCTGTGGGGCAGCCCATGGCAGGGGGTGGATCTTGACTACCTTTAGGGTCCCATCCAACCCAACCATTCTGTGATTCTATGAGTGCAACACAGCCACAGGCCAACCTGTCCTGCTGCTCATTCACGTAGCAAGGAATCTGAAGCTGCTACCAAGTTGAAACAATCTTCAGCGTGTATCTTCTAGGAGCTGGATACTAGCCCTGCAATTCCACAAGCAAAGAACAATCAGCAATGTACCTAAACCAGTGCTCTGCATTAAGGGCTCACTGTGAGCAACAAAGAGTTCGCAGCCTTCCACCTCTCCAAGTGCTCACAAGGACCCTCTGCAGCAGCTTCAGTCTTAGGCTTCCTTCTCAATGTCAAACACAGTTACTCAAAATTAAATTAAAACTGTGATGCAGAGAATGGAAGATTGAGAAAGGAGGGGAGGAGCTGACCTTGAGCACAGTGCGACAGATGCTCCAACAGCACACTGCTGTTGGGACCCACCAGCTTTCCACCTGCAGGCAGACAGGGGTTTGGCCCACGGCTCGGTAGTACTGAGAGAATCCTCCAAAAAAAACAAAAGTCTTCAGTATATTTTGTTAAACCCAGATCTCTCCGTTCAATGTGACAAAATAAGAAAAACACGCAAGCGTTAGGAGCGTTGCTCCAGGCCAAAACGCGATCACTGCTAAAAAAAAAACAACCAAGAATAAAGGTCCTTCAAGTGAGTGCCTGATTATCTGATCTGGAACTCCGACATGTTTTCCTGGCCACCTCAGTACTGCTGGAGGCTGCTGATGTCCCTCAGGGTCCTTCCATCGGTGTGCTCCTCGTGCAGGGCGCAGGGCTGAGGCTGCAGCAGTGCCACGCTCAGCCCAGCACAGCTCTTGATTCTGAACTGCACTACAGGTGAGTGCTGCCAACGTTCAGGTTTATACATACAGACATTTCACAGGCTTTTATCTTTAACTGCTTGCTGACCATCCTTAAACTGCCACAGATAGCACAGACATTTGTTCAATATCCAACTGACCTGCTGGAAACAGCAAGGAGTGCATCTGCTGAAATCCTTGCCTTGAGGTCCCTCCAATCTCTTCTTTCTTTAAATCAAAGAAAATCATGAAGCAGAGAAAAGCAATAAAAACAGTGCTGAAGAGATGAGAGTTCAGACCAGTAAGGAATGGGAGATTGGGATCCCATCCTCCATCTGAAAGGAAAGCTCCACCTCTGTCATTCAAGCCAAAAAGCTGAGCACTATGAAGCCAAGAAATGAAGAGAATTGTAAGTTTCGGGCCAAAGTTCCTCTCTGGGATGAATTACTGATGGGCTTTACTATTTTTTGTCCCTTTTACATCAATGTAGGCAGATGATGACCAGGTGAGCTCAGTTTTGTATTTCCATAATGCAAGTGCCACCCTCCTACTGCCCTGAGTCCGCAGTGGGAGCCTGCCCCACATCTCCTGTAGGACACGGCCACAGCCAACACAGGGAAAAACACATACAAAAAAAAAGTACATTTGCTGTTAGTGTCCCACACTGAGCTTAAAGGTTGGTAAATGGGACTCAGCCTCTTGCCTACAAATACCAGTGATGACTGCGAGGTGTTTAATGCCCCACATGAAATTAATTGTCCTTTTGCCATGGGATGGAGTCCCTGAACACAGCCAGCACCTGGTGGGCTGTCAGGGGGGAGCGACCACCTGCAGTGTGTGAGCATCCTTTGTTCCACCTGCCCTCCTGGCTGCCGGGCTCAGCAGGGAGTCCCAGTGCTGAGCAAGTCAAGGCAGGGAGATCATTCTTTTTCTCCTTTTAAAGCACCTCTCCCTACACCTGGGAATGCAAAGGCTGCAGCTGCTCAGTGGAAGGCTGCACGTTCCTCACCCACAGCAGCTTTCTATCTGCAATAAGAGGCAGAAGGAAGAAAAAAAAAAAAAAAAAAGAAAAAGCCCTTCCAGGAAATTAAAACCCTAACACTCTCTAGAAGCAGCTCTAAGGTTATCTGAAAGCAAAGTGACTGTGCACACCTCACACACCTCCTGTAAAACAGCTTGGGTAAAGTCTTCGGGAGGCTGAGCCTAATGGGGAGCTTCACTCTTCACTATGGATGAGCGCAGCTTCCCACCTCCAGGGTAGGAGCAACAACAGGAGCAGTTTGCACTGGAAAGTCGTGTCAGATGAAGCACACAGCTGGGAGCTATGGGCAGGAGGAGGAGAACTGAAATTTCTGGCAATTCTTGCAAGAAACCCCTTCTGACCAACTTCTGAGTCAGGCTAAGTACAACTCAGCCTAATAAAACACTTCTGCTCAACACTTCCATCTCCCCACCCCTCTTCCTTCCTTGTCAAAGGCAAAGAGGGACCTAAACTACCTAATGAAAAACTGAACTGGAATGTTTCCCCATGGATAACAGGAGACACAAAGCCGAAGAAGCAGCTTACCGTGAGCTGAGAATTAATCCCAGAATCAGAAATGAAAGCACCAGGAACACCTGAAGGTCTCACTCCTACAGATGCATGTTAAACTTACAGTTCAATCACTTCCCTCCATTGGTACCAGGATGAAACTAGAAGCAGTGCCTTGCTTGAGGGACAGGCCACTAAATCTCATTTCAAAGTTGCAAGCTACCTGAATTTCCTTTGGATCTTTAAGTTCCAACCTCTGCAAGTTTCTAAGGGCATTTCCCCAAAGGGATCACAACCCAGGACAGATCTAGGTTTGTGTTACAGACAAGAACTCCTACCAATCAGTTTGCTTCACAGCAGCTCAGCCTAAACCAGGACCTAGAAGCCCCAGCAGCCTTCTGTGGGTTCCCACTCCAGGCCTCTTCCTCTGCAGCAGAGAGCAAACACCAAGAGCCACGTCCCACACAGCAGGGAGCTGCACCAGGCTGTGCACCCCATACCCACACATCACCTCCCATCCCTTGGTTAGGAAAAACAGGCTCAAAGAAACCATTCCGTGCCATCCTGTGAGTCTGCTGGAATGATTTCATGTTCGCCCCACGCTCAAAAATGCAAATTCCCATGCTAACTCAGAACATTGTTATTAACAGAATTTAGGGCCGCTGACTCATTGAACTGCTATGATGGCCACAGATGGTTAATGAAGGTCAGCTAAGAACAATGCATGTAGCACGATGACCAAGCAAACCACTGTCTTTTACATAAATTGTACGTTTGAGAAGAAAGAGAATACAGTCTGAATCTCACCACAAGTATGGAAGCTATGCAGTTCAGACGTTAGGATCCTTTTTCCCCAGTAACAGAACAGTACAGGAAGCTGAAGTGGTTGAAATTCGAGCACCTTGTCAACCCTCCGGACTGCTCCTGCACAGGGAGGGTTCCCAGCTTCCTTTTCAGACACAGCATTTCCTTTTAGTCAGAATGAATCAAGACTTGCAAGGCACGGAGGTATCTCTTTTCCAGACCTCATCCTCTCTTTTCACCTCTGCAGACATTTGCCACTTACCTTGGGTCCAACCTAGAGCTAAATACACTAGCGTAATACTCCTGAGCCAAGCAAGGCAAGGGATCAAAGCTCAAGTCTCTTCCCAGAGGAATGCAACCTCACACCCACATCTCAGACTCCATTTCTGGTCTTCCTGGATCAGAGGTCCACGTGGAACTGATGTCAGTAGCAACACTCATGTGCTGCCAGTTAATATGCAAGCACCGTGGTCACATCTGACACAGCACTCAATACTTTGCTTGTTCTTTCCAAACAGAACAAACCATTACACTGGGCAGAAGAGAACTCAAAGGCGATGCTGTACTGACACAGGTCCAAATTAAATCCAAAATTTCGTTTCTAGGAAGAACAGAGTATTTTGGTGGGGTCAGTTCAGTGCTCTTCTGATGTTCTGTTATGGAGAAGAGAACAAAAATTCCCCAGATCCTGGCAGATCAATGAGAAGCAGCTAGTCAAGGAATAATGAAGCCATGAAAAGAAAGTGGGGAAAAAAAAAAAAAGATTAGGGGCTGTGTTGTTTCTTTTTTCCCTCCTAATCCCACCGACATCTATTAAGCTCTCAGATCTGTGTGTGTGCAACTCACAGACAAGCGCAGAAGAAAGATTTCATCCCACTAACATGTGCACTACAGCCTGCAAAGTAGAAGAAAGCAGAGACAAGGCAGAAGCCAGGAAGCAACCCTCAATGGCACCAATGGCACGAGGTGTCTCACCCAGCCAGCTGTGATCGCTGCCTGCGCTGGAGCAACAGTGAGACTCAGAGGAAAACAGAAAGTTAACTTTAATAGGGAGGAAAAAGGCCAGGTCATCGTGTGGATCAGAGTTTGACTAAAAGCAGTCACACAGAAGAAGTTCAAAGAAACTCGACCCTCTTTTGTGTCTCACAGCCACACGAAAGCAGAAGTGAAAACCATCTATAATTCAGGTGGGTGGAGATGGATGGACTGTAGAGCAAATTTGCATCTTCTGGGGAAAAGCCCTGCTCAGCAGAACACAGGAGGAGAACGGAGCTGCTCCTTTTGTGAGAGCACAGCTGAGCCCTCGGGCACAGAGCACATCTCTCAGCCCTCACCTCGCTCCCAGCTTGCCACAAGCCAACCCCATGAGCCAGGCTGAGCTCTGGCCCTCCACCAAGGCAGGTGCTCACCTTCCTCCTTGTTGTTGGTGATATCTTTCAGCAGTTCAGTCTTCATGCAGGCGTCTTTCCTTGTCTCTCCCTTACTCAGCACTGTTTGCTGATGGGGGGAAAAAGAAATACCGAGTTTTAGCTCCAAGTTCATACACACATTGCATTAAAAAAAAAAAAAAAGAGACAATCGTGGATGTATCCTGTTTACATCACAGGCCAACCTCTCTCTGCAAAATACCGCTGGCAGGAAACTGCCAAGGCACAGGTCAGAGATAAAGGCCCCAGGGCTGGAACCTGCGCTTGGGGCCGAGGCAGGCACTGCAACTGGGTGCAAGCGTGCAGCTCCGAATGCAAAGAGCTGAGGAACCCAACCGAGGCTGCTGCAGGCTGAAAGGGGCATGGAGGGCACCCCAAGGAAACGACCCTCGCGGCCTCAGACTGCTTTGTTGTGGGTAGGAGGAGGTGGGCTGAGCCCATTTCTCGCTGCACATCATTTATCTGCACAAGCAGGCCGAAGTACACTTTGGTATTTCTGCTTTTTGTGGTCTGTTTAAATGCAATTTATAAAACACAACCATCAGTGAGCTTCACCCAACTCATCGCCCCTGCCTTCCAAGTTTACTAGGGCCAGTGAGCTCATCTCTTAATTTTATGGAAAGTAATTTTTCTTTTCTTCCTCTTTTACTTTCCTGCAGAAAGGGAACACCTGCTCTCCCCCCTGCCTTTCACGTGCCTGCCATCACATTGCTCGATCGGGTCTGCAGCCTTCACACCACCACCGCGGATTGTGGGGGGCAGCTACATTTAAATTAAGATAAAAAAACAAACAACAACCAAAACGAAGGAGAAAAGTCTTATAAAACCCACAACCAAGCACACAGATGAGAAGGGTCTTTTGCTACAGCTCTCTGCTCCCAAACTAAAAGACAAGCACGGTGCCCGCCATGGAGCTGCATGGCACCAGGGGAGCCCCATTATCACGAGCCCAGGTCAAACCAAGTGCTGTAGGAAGTAGATGAAGCCCACAGCCACGAAAATCAAAAGGTTTAAAGCACAATGAGTGGTTAAAAAAAGGAACAGAAGGCCTGCTCGTGTCCCATAAAGCAAGCAAGAGATAACGAACGCATACGAAGGCTGAAACATCAGCTTCAAAGGCTTTACCAGGCAAACAAGGCGCTGCTGCTCACCCTTCCCCAACCATTCTCTGCTTGAAGCCACCCAGGCAGACCTTGGTGCTACTGCTGGGAGCCAAAGGCCCAGCCAACCTGAGCAACGCGTCCTTCCAACAGCTCCCATCAAGGAACCATAGGAACACAGCCTCAAACAGGAACACAGAGCAGCTTTTCCCTGCTAAGCCATAACATGCATCTTCAATGAAAACATCTACAAGTAAATCCTACCTCTCCTCCACCCAGACTTGCTGTAAAATGGGGATAACTGCACCTGCCCAACAAGCTCATCCTGGTGCAAGGGTAAGCAGGGAGTCGCCCTGGGCCTGGCCTGTGCAGTGAGCCCCTGCTCATCTCACACAGACCTTCTGGTTTTCCCAAGCTTTGTTACAATAAATAGAGGTCGTGATATTCCTGCTGTTCAACTGACTCCTCCTGAAAGCCTCAGCATTTCCAGCAGGCCATTTCCATCCCTCCCATCCTTTATTTTCCAAGCAGCTCCCCCACTCCACCAATTATTCACGCCCTCCCTTTCATGGGGACATTGCTGCTGCTCAGACCACGAGGCCTAAAGAAAAGCCACTGCAGGAGCCCCACCGTCAGCCAGCCCTCGGCAGCTAAGAACACACTCCCTCTTCTCTGCAACTAACAGAAGCCCAGAGCTGCCCCACATCCCAGACAGCGCTGGGAGCTCTCAAAGCAGCACCAAGAGAGGAACCGTCGCTGCTCCACGCTGGAGAAGGAAAGCTCAGTGCCAGCTCCAAGCCACTGAGGTGGTTCCAATGGGTTCTGCAGCCCCAGCCAAGCGGCCTCACTAGCAGCAGCTCGATGGCCTCCGGGCATTGCTCCGGAGCAAACAAACAGCCAGCATCACCATCCACAACGCTAACGCACCTTCAGACCTGCTGGGAGGGAAAGAATCAAGTAACAATAATGAAAAAGACAACTGTGACTTTGGAAGCCTTCTGATCCAAAGGAGGCTCCAGGAAAGCACCGCACGGCCCTCGAAGCCTCGTCCCCAAGGACAGCACTCCTCACCCGCGCTCCATCACCGCAGCAGGGTGTTGGCAGCAGGACGGGCAGCAGGCAGCACCCTGGGTGCCCACCACCCACAGCCCAGCCATTCCCACCGGCCCACGGCTCCACCCAGCCGAGCCAGCAGCAACTTGGCTGCGAGTGTCAATACCTCCATATTTGTGTGCCTTGCTTTTCCCCCCTTAAATTCAGAGCAAACTTCCCCTTCGCTCACACCCCATGGCCCAATCCGTCGGCTCCTGATTGGCAGGGAAATCCTATACCCACCCTCCCCGCCAGAAGTGTCGGCTCTTGCAGCAGTCCCAACAAAAGCCAACTGCCAAGCTCAGGCTGCTTCACAATAAAAGTCTCACGCTCTCCTCTTTTATTTTTTTTCCCCCTTCCCCGCAGACGGCCGCCTCCATTCCCCGACCCCAGATGGATTATTAACCTCCAGCCACTGGAGAGCCTCCACCGAGGCTGCGTGCCACGAGCGACGGGGCGTTGATTCCCCCCACCAGCTCCTTTTATTTTTAGATTTCGAGGGAAAGAAAAATGGCTGCGTCTTAAGAGAGGTGTCTGAAAGGGCTTTAGAAGCCAAGAAGATCCAAGCAAGGGCTGGCTTTAGTCTTTCCTCTGCGCCTCTGATTAACAAGAAATAAGGCTTCCCTTCCTCCACCACGTCTTTGGAGAGGACGGAAGACAGGGCAGAGCCGAGGAAACGCTCTGCAGCATTTCCAAGCAGGCAACCAGAAACTGCATGGTGCCTTTAAAACAAAAAACAACAACAAAAAGAGCAAAGCTGGGAAGCGCAGAGAGCTTCCTCAGCCTCCTCCTTGGCATTTTCATCAGCCCTTTGCAAAAGTCCAAGCAGGTTTTACAGGCAAAGACAATACATGCACAGCACAACTCCAACATATTGTAGCTTACCAAGCCCAAGAGAGCAGTTAGTTGCATCATGAACCAGAGCTCTCTAGCAGTAGACCAGGAAGGAGCGGAGGTTGATGTGCTAAGATGACTACCTCCACAAGAGTCCTTTTTTTTTTTTTTTTTTCTTCCCCTCCTTGTTTTCTTAAAAATCAACCCAAGCTTTGCAGCAACGCTGCTCTGATTTGAGACGTGTGTTAAAGCAGGTCAATCTGAAGGAGGGCTGGAAGCAGAATGACCAACCCCTCTCCAACACAGAACTGCTGCACTACCAGCAGCAGCTGCACCAACGCTCCCCAGCACATGCACACCAGGCACAGGGGACAGCAGTGACCCTGGGGCCCAGAAGCCCCCAACAGGAGGCACCCAGGGGACACTGGGCCCCCAGAGTTGACACCATCAGCACAGCCCCACAGCTGGGTCTCACCCCATGCGAGGCAGCAGTGTGTGCTGCAGCAAGAAAGGGAGGCAAAGCACTCGACAAGTGATGCAACTCCAGCAGCAGCGGATTTCCATTTACTCTCATTTTTTCCTGCTAATAAAACCCAACAAACCCAACCTGCTCATAACCTTTGCCTTAAAAGAAGGCAAACGTTTTGTAGCTAATTACATAGGAAGCAATGATTAAGAAAACGCCTGTAGAGAGACGGTGTTTGTTTTATCAGCAGGAGAAGAGCGCTGATTTCAGATTTCGGCTCTGCTCTGGTCCTGCTGAGCATGGGCAGGTCTGGGATCACCAGTCACGGGGACACTGGCCCTGGGCCTGCCACGAGAAGCATTTGATTTGGAGAAGAAAGGAAATGTAACACCCGTGTACCTGGCCTACAAAGCAGCCACCAGTCTCAAAGCTCCTTTTCTAGGTTAAGGCCACTTCCTTATAAGCCTCGTGCAATCATGTGGACATGGAATTTTATCTGCAGCTCACAACAAGCACTCCTCTCAGCCTGAAGTCTGTCCCCAAATCAAACTAGACCTGCAATTCTTTTGTCTCCTGAATTCCTCCTATCCTAGAAGAACAGAAACATTTTCTTCTCTGCCTCCATGACTCCCTCCAATTCCAGCCACACAGATCAACTCCCAAAAAATGGGGGAAGGGTAGAAACGAGGCACAAGTCCTTGCATGCAACAGCTGGGAACAAGGAGACACACACATGAAACACAACAAGACTTAAAAGTGGGTTCTCATAGCACAGGGCAGTCCATAATGGTGCCCAGGCTCCAGGCAAGGGGGGTTTGTGGAGCCTAGGCTCCTGTAGGGGTGAACCCAGTGAACAGGGCAGCCTTGGTGCAGATGCAGCTATGCTGTCTTGCTGCTTCCACGCTGGGAAGCATTGCATCCATCTAACTGTGACCCAGTAGAGTGAAAACCACTACAACTTGTATGTGAAGACAAATGGAAATCCAAAGCAGACAAAGGCATCTCCTTCCACTGGCTAAGGTTAGCAAGAAGTACAGCTGCTGCCCACCTTCTCCTATCACAAGGGGGGGGGAGGGGGGAAGGGCAGAGAACCTAAAAACAGAGATGAAGGATCTTAATCTTCTCTAGCAAAAGCAAACCAGACACTTCAGAAACACTAGGTCCCCAGGAAGGCTCAGCAAGGATGAAACCACAGCACCAAGAAGAGCCTGGAGAGAACAGTTTGCAGCCTCGTCCCCATCGACAACACCCAAGCACCTCTTTGGCCTCAGCCGTCCTCTTCCTCCCTCCCCCAAACCACCGCAGCCAACGGAGCAGCTCCCTCACCTCTACCCAGCCCAGCAACACCAGAAGGGACGCCTTCTCAGGCCTGGGCCCAGGGAGGTGGCCCCAGCCTGGGTGTTCCTTGGGCCATGGAGGACCTTGCCCCGCGCACACCTCCTCTTCTGTGCCACCTGCAACCACAGCGACGCCTGCAAGCCGGGAAAGCAGACAGGGAGAGGAAAACAAGGCAAAAAACAAGACAAAAGTTGCACCCTCGGGCCTGTCCCTCTAATAGCTACAGCAAAACCTCACCAAGACTTTACTCTCCTGGAGGGTGAGAAAGGCACGCAGCGCTGCCCAGCACCCGAAGTCCTAGAGGTGGCAGCTCCTCACCACCTTGCCTCCATGGCCTACGGGCTTCGTCCTTCGTGGGGCTTTTTTTCTGCTCTGTCATTAAGAGTGGAGCCTGGTCTTTTCCTTCAATCCCAAGAATTGCACTGAATTAGATCATCTTTCTCGGCTCACCTCCCCCTACAGGCAGCTCCCGAGCATGCTCAGCTCGGCCTGGCGCTGCCATTTCATAACTGCATTGTTTACAGACGCACACTGACCTGCCATTTTTTGACAGTAGGAGAGGAGCTGGTGCTTGCAACCACGGCTGCTCACAGCCCTGCTCCTCACCACCGCCGGGCCAGGGGCGAGCTCCTGCCTTGCAATAAAAATCCAATTTGGAGAAGGGAAATTGCAAAGTGTGGAAAGTTGCAGTTTACTGTTGTTTTTGTTGTTGCTGTTTCTCCCCTTGTTTTAGGTCAAAATCCACCTGCTCGGAGCACACGGTCTAGGAGGAAGCAGTTAACCCCTCTCTGGGGTGAGGAGAGCACAGGTCTCGTCGAGCTCAGTGCAGAATGCCAGCCATGATTTCAGCTTCTTCAAATCACAACTGTGCTTCGATGTCACCTAAAAATACAATGTTCAGCCCGGTCTGCCATCCTCTGTCAAGCCTTCCTCTGAGAAAGAAAGCCTTGGAAATATGGTATTTCCCTTGAATAAACAAGTTGGCTTAGTACCAGCACATACAGTTTTCTCCTTTAAATGCAAACCAGAGTATTTTTGCAGGCACACAGGAAAATGAGGAGAGGAGGAGGGGAAAAGTTCTTCATTTAACACCAAGAGCTCCATTAAAAGCACTGCAAGGTTGCTCCCAGTCTCTCTCTGTTCCAGTCCTCTCCCCGTCTGTGTTTATCATGCTTTCCAGGTGAAAGCAGCTCCAAGTTATGCTGGACAGAAAATGCCAGAAGACCTGGAGGTTTCCTCATCCTTGGAACAAGGACAATTTGTTGCAAAGCTTCTTTTACAAGAGGCACTGTGCTGCTCCGACACAGTATGGCAGCGTTGCAGGGAAGACGCTCACACGTCAGATCTTCTTAACCCTCACCACCTCTCCCTTTTTCCACCACGCTTCCCCCTCCTCGGGGAATTGCAGTTACCTGGGATCAGGGGAAATACCAAAAGTTGGTATTTTGGATCCCAGAATATTTTTTAAGAGCTTGCTCTATATTTTTTTCCCCCAGTGATGTTTTTGTGTTGGTTTTCTTTTCTTTTTTTTTTTTCCCTTTTATTTTTAAAAACACATTCCAATTAGCTCAGATAGTGAACGAGCTTCTCTCCAGCTGCTTTACCAATAACCCCGCACCCTGCTGGGCAGTGCCTGTCCTCCATCGCTGCCCCCCTCTAGGACCAACACCACCAGGCAACAGAGCCAGACATTTCCTATGCTGCAGAACAGACCAAGGAGTTCAAACAGGCACCGGAGGGGAGGAGGGACAGACAGATCTGCAAAGGGCCGAGTCCGAACGTCAGGGGAGATCACATTACTGGCTGCTGGGGTCTCGTCTGTGAAGAGGGTTTGATTTCAAAACTCACTTAATTTACAGTAGTTGAAAAGAATCGGCTGAAAGTGGCGGTTAAGGGTTATAAATTCAAGATTTGCTTCCAAATCACGGGCTTTGCAGTTCACTGCAGGAACATATGGTCCTCTGAGCCTCGAGAGCAGGGAGCACACACTGCCAGAGCCCCAAGTCTTTGGGCTGAACCAAAAGCAAGACATTTCTTCCACTGCAGGGTGGTCACTGTGGTGCTTCCTCAACCTTTGGCAGCTCCAGGAGCAACACAAGGAGAAGGAAAAATTTAAGGGGAGAAAGACAAAAGGACAACAAAGAGCAGCCCCAGGAATCGAGTCATCCCTCCCCCAGCCATCCACAAACCAGCTGGTCACGACAGCGAAGCTCCTTAAATGTCCTTGTTTACCTGAACAAAATAGCTCCCTGCCATTGTACGAGCAGCATGCGATCCTGAGATGGCACTGGGCAGAGGAGGTGGTGCTGGCAGCCCTGTGCTCACCCCGTAATGGGATCCGAGCTCCGCACTGGAGAGATGCAATCCTGCTGTAGGGCCTGTGGGGCCACGCTGGGTAATGGGGGGATGGTTGCCCTGCAGGGAAATCCAAATGTCTCATGCTTGCAATGAGAGATGAAAAAATGAGGCAAAGGGCAGGAGACTGGCATGGGTTCCTTCATACATGATCACCACAGGCGGGCTAAGGAGGAATGGTGATTGTCTTGAAAGGCGGGGGAGGCTGCTCATGCTGGACTTCACTTCGAAGTCAGTTTAAAATAGGGGAAAAAAAAAAGAAGAAAAAAAACCCAGCACCCAGATGTCCATATTTAGGGCTGTTAACTTCCATGGAAGTCCAGGTCTGAGGATTCTGTCTTCCCTCCAAGCTCTCTGAAGGCCACGCAGCACCAGGTGCTATGGGCGCTCAGTCACTGTGCTCCCCAGGCACCGGCTCTGCTCCATGACAGCCTGGTTCCGCCAGCACTGCGGCTCTGTGGGCAGGAGCCAGCCAGGCCTTCACTCATTGCTTCCAGAAAGAACCTTCTCCTCATTACTTCCTCTCGTTGTCTTTTCCTTCGGTGCATGTTTACTGGAGGAGAAGTCCTTGTGAGCAGGCAGGGAGGTGCGGAGCCGAAGCCCCACTGACTGCCCACTGCTGCCTTATGCCCAGCGTGGCCCAAAGCCCAACCACAGGCCTGCTGAGCACCCGTACAGTACCTGCATTGAACACAAACAGCGAAAAAACAAAAAACCAACATCGAAAACCCACGAGCACAGCGGGGCCAGGGGGCTGGATTTCAGCTAAATAAACTGCAGGCCCGTGCCTCCTGCCACCACACCAACCACGGATGTTTCGTTTTAATCAGCTGCATGGATTGCAAACTACTACCGGGAAAAAAATAGTAATAATAAAATTAAATGAAAAAGAGGGTGAAAAACATCCCCTGAAATTACTGTTGTGTTGTTGTTGGTAGAATAGCGTGGCTCAGCAGGGAGCCATAGGCCGCAGCCAACACAGGGCCTCCCTGGCCAGGGGCCTCTGCAGTCCTTCCCCAGGGCAGAGCTGTGCCCCCAGCCCCTGCTCCTCTTATAGCAAGGAGAGCTCCTGGTAGACCCAAATTTCCCAAAGATTTCATGGTTTGTTGTTTTTTTTTTTAATATATATATATATATATATTTTTTTTAAACCCAACCCTAAAATAAAATTAAACGCCATCCCTCCAAACAAGCCTCCCCACCACAGAAGGCAAACAAAAGATCCAGAGCCCAAGCTTCCCCTGAGCCAGGTAATGCCAGATGTACGTGCAAGGCCATGGAACAGCACAAAGTCACAATCATAACAACACAAAAGAGCAGTCAAATGCTGACAAGGCAGCTCCAGGCTGCTCCCCAACCGCCCCAGCGCCCTGCCCCACATGGCTGCCGTCCTGCTGCGCTCCCTCCCTCGCACAGGGCAGAAGAAAAGAGAGAACTGACATAAAAAAGAATCCAGCCATGATTATCTGAACTGTCTTCCTCCTCTCCGAGGCTTCTCCTTTCCCACCTGGCGCCAGGCTGCCTGCAGCCCCAACCGAAGGGACGCTGCTATTTATGAGGTATGGGAGATGGACACTGCGAGCTACTGTACCTGCAGACATCTGTGGTCTTCTCCTGGGGAAGACTCAAAGAGTTGCATATTCCAGATCCTCATGAGCAGTGATTCAGTTTCTGCTCATGTGATAAAAGCTCCCTCTACAGAGTGAGCATGCCCAGAGGAGACCATTTCACTGCTCCCTCCAAGCTGCAGCCATTTCACAGAGAACCTGCAGGCTCCAGCGTCCATTGGAGCGGCGATCAGCCCGGGCATCCCGGGGACGCCCCGGTAATGCAGATCATCTGTCAACTTTCTGACAGGGTGCCAGGCCTCAAACTGATCGCTTGCCTGCAAAAAAAAAAGCCTTTTAAACCCAGAATGAGTTCTGTTTCGGTGGCCTTCAAGAGTAGCCCTTGTCCACAGAAAAAAAAGGCAAGGGGAGCAGAGATGGGGAGGGACACAGTGTGGCGTGGGGACATCCCTGTGCTGCTTTTGTACTGCTTAATCAAGGGTCTGACCCGTGAAGAGGGGGATGAAGGCACACGGGTTTAACCGGTTAAGTGTGCAGTGTCCAACTGCAAGAGGATTCAAGATGTGACCTGCTGAGCTGAAGGGGTGCTGGCTTCCACTGCAAGGATTTATAATACAACATGACCTGGTACAACCAACCTTAAAAACATATCACAGCCACAGTCATTAAAAAGAGGGGGGAAAGCATAACGAAGTGATAGCGAGTGCACTGCGAGGTACAGTAGCTCTGAGCTCAGCCTATGTTGAACTGTATGATACATCTGGCCTAGCCAGCAAGATAAAAGAACATTTTAGCTTCAAAATAAAAGTAGTTTGCCTCTGTTCTCCTTAACAATTAAGCACAAACTCTTGGCAACATTTGCATCTGCTCATGCTCCCGGAGAAACCAAAGCAATTTGCAGGAACATCTGCAGGCAGAGCAGGGCTGGAAAAGATGCAAGCACAAGGCTGGCAGTGGGGCTGGCAGTGGGGTGCCCCAAGGCTGCAGGGCTGCCTGTGTGGGGCGGGAGGGAGAACCCAGCCAGAGGAGGCGAGGAGGAAGAGGAAACTCAGACATGGGCTGTGGCACCTCCTGGCTGCTCTTGGCCAAAGCAAAGCTATTTTCCATGAAACCAGAACACAGAAGATGATTGTTTTTAAGGCTAACTGTTACAATGAAGACGAGCTCAGTGCAGTGCGTTGTAGTGGGCTGTTGGGGGCAGGGAACTGCCTGTATACAGGGTGGAGAAAAAGCCACAGAAATCCACGGCGAGGTTTTGAGAAGCCCAGTGATTTTATTTGCTTTGCAC